CTCTCTCTCTCTCTCTCTCTCTCTCTAAGTTTCTACCCATTTCACCGTCAAATGAAATCTAATGTTGTTTGATTAAGTTTGTATCTATTTTCAATGTCAAAAGAAATATCAATGCTCTCTGAATTCCTTTATGGGTTTTCCCCAAAACCGCAAACACCCCCGTCCTCTTCCTTCTCTCTGTCTCTCTTTCAGTTTATATGTATTTCTATTTTAATGTCTGAACTCGGAGTTGCTTTCTGGGTTTTTTTCCCCAAACCTCTCTCTCTCTTTGTTCCTATTTTAGCATTAAAAGAAAACTCAAATGAAAAATCAATAACGTCTGAATATGTTTCTGGGGTTTTCCCAAACCTATCACTCTTTTTGTACCTATTTTAATATCAAAAGAAAGCCCCGATGTAAATTTTTGTTTATTTATTTTTTGTTTCGTTTTTGCAGCTTCGAGAAAACTGTTTGAAGAGGATTCGGGATGATAGAGCTAAGCTCTTACGCAGACTCAGGTTATCTGGCAAGACTCCCACCACCCACAAAGTAAGAAAAATTGGTATTTTTTCTTTTTTCTTTATTTTTTCAGCTCCATAAAGAGATTGTATTCATTTTCTTCATTCGATTATATATTCTCTCTCTCTCTCCAATCTAACAGGAAGATTAAATATATATATACATATGGAAAAAGCTGGGATTAGCCGAACATATGAGCTGAACGGTTCAGATTGAATCTGGGCCGATCCGATCACGGATGTCCGGTAGTATTTGGATTTTAACTTTTTTTTCTACAATTCTAAATCACTTTAAATTTTAGCAGAGTATTAATAAAATATAGTTGAATTTTGAAAAATATCAAAAAAATATTTTACATAAAATAAATTGATCAAAATACCCTAGAAAAGTTTTTGAGTATTTTGGTCATTTTGTTTTTTACGAATAATTTTTTTATATTTTTATTAGGTGTGCCTTGATGAGAAGAACACACGTCTAAAATTTCAAGTGACTTGGATTTGTGGAGAAAAAATTAAAATTCAAACAGAGGTCGTGACCTTCAGATCGACCTAATTGCCGTTAGGCTCATATGTTCATATGAGCTAGTGGGCTATTTGTTTGTGTTTTCACCTAAGAGAAACTGAACAGTGATTTCGCCTATCCTCATCACCGTCCAAAGTTTATCTCATGGTCACGATTGTCTGGTAGTGATTTATTTTTCATTGTTTTCTACAAATCGGAATGACCTGAAATTTGGAGCGAATGTTCATAAAAAATAGGTGAATCTACAAAAAATATAAAAAAAATATTTTACATTAAAAAATTGATCAAAATACCCCCGAAAAGTTTCGAGGGTATTTTAGTCAATATATTTTTTACGAATTATTATTTTTTATATTTTTATTAGGTGCGCCTCACTAAGATGTACATATGTTCCAAATTTCAGGTCATTATGATTTGTAGAAAAACAAAAAAAAAATGAAACACTACCGGACAATCGTGACTATACGATGAACTTTGGACAGTGATGAGGGTAGGCGAAATCACTGTTCAGTTTCGCCTATAGACGTTGGAAAGACTTTTTCTTATATATATATATATATATATATTTATTTATTTATTTATTTTATTTTATGTTGGGTAGTTGGTATTTTTATGTATTTGGTGATTATTGATTCTCTCAATCTAACCCAATTAGAAAAGCGTAGTTTGGGTGTTGGTATTTTTGTGTATGTGCTGATTACTGACTCTCTCCCCCTCTCTCACATAAACACACCCCAACTAGAAAATCATATTTTGGGGGTTAGTATTTTTGTGTATCTGGTGATTATCTCGTTTTATCCAAACTCAACTAGAAAATAATTTTGGGTGTTGGTATTTTGGTGTGTGGAGATTACTCTCTTTCATACTAGAAAATCATATTTGAGTAGGCTGGTATTTCTGTGCATGTGGTGTGGAATTATATAGATGATGTTGATTCCTCATTATTTTCAAGTTTCTACGTAAAAGAATATGCAAACTAGACTGTTATGATTTATAAATTTTGCTTGCAGATGGCAATGATATTGTTTCCTTGGGTAGCTGAGCTACTACTCAGTGCATATGGAATTTTATGATTTGAGTTTTGATGTTTCTTGAATATTTCTGTCGAGATGGGTGAAAGTTGTTCTTTCGAGTTTATTAACTAGATAGACTTTTTATTTTTTATATAGTCGATAGACTTTTTTTTCTTGGATATATAATTGAGAACTAATCTTCTCTTGCCCAAAGTGGCATTGATTTTGATGTGCTTACGTCTTGCATGAGAAGATGAATTTGATGGAAAACACATTGATTCTCACTACTTTGAATACACGATATGTGGTGGTTGTCCCAAGTCACTACGCTTCGTTGAGGAAAAACTCCATATGTTCAATGGCAATTAAAAGTAATTTAGATACCATTGGAAGAGGCTCATTCATTTGTAGGCTCTCATGGGTGAAACAAAATTGGCAAGGAATCAGGCGTATCATTTGGTTCCCAATGGATATGACTAAATAATCGAGATATTAAGCTCGTGATATTTGCACTTAATTCAATTTAAATCTAGGCCAAACTCAATGGTCTTCAAGCTTACGTCTCCTTTTTCTGTTTGTGTATTACTGAGCAACATTAGTAGAGATGCCTTAATTGAAGTGGATGATTGGTATTGGTGTCTCACTTGAATTCACATCATTTCAGCTCCAGGTTCTTCTCTTCCTCAATGATGGATAAATATGCATGATAATTAGTATTTTAAAGACTTCAACTTGTCTTCTCATCCTTACTCTTTCAAAGGGAGAATGAGAATGAGCAACCCTTCCTTTGACGACTACACTCCTCATATATCAATTCTACCAATCTTGATGTCACAAGACGGTGTTTGTTTTCACACTTTTTAATACTCATCTACAATGGGATGCATGATTCAGAGTAAAGGGCTTCAGGTTTTGAGATAAGAGGTCACTATAGCAGTATCTTCTTGTGACCAAAGGTAGAAAGATTTACTCCAATGTATCCACCCCCAGATAAACTTTATAAAAAAGTATATATAACTATTATTCTAAGAGGAGAGCGGGGCTGAAGATTTCCAAATATTTCCTATTCCATGGAACTATATAAATGACTGGGGCCCTCTATGTTATAGATAGGCCCCCCATCATGATCTTATCTTTCCTAATAAACTTGAAGAAACTTGAGTTGCATTGAACTCATGAGTGCAAAAGTCCTTTTCCCTGGATGGACCAACAAGAACTCATAGAACGATCGAATTGAAAACACACTGGATTTTTAACGGGATCACAACCATGGATGCCCAAATCTGTGAGTTCTATCTCCAAGTTTATTAATGTCCCGCTTTACCTTAACTCAACAAGTTGACAATTCGGTTTTGGATATTGGCCTAAGAGAGCCCAGAAACATTTTTGGGTCATTCTGTGAGCCTCTTTAGCTTCTTGAGTTGAACCTGATGCGTTCCACTTCTAATAGTGCTTGCTATCTTGTTCTTCCTCTTTCTTGTCAGCCAGTGCTTGCTATCTTGTTCTTCCTCTTTCTTGTCAGCCAGTGCTTGCTATCTTGTTCTCCCTCTTTCTTGTCAGCCAACTGAGAGAAAAAGGTTCTCTAAAGGTAATCTTACCTTGGTGAGTCTAAAAGGCAGAACCCATACTTATTCAGACAATAGGGAATAATTCATGTTTCTTAACTTTTCAACCACTATTTGTTTTAGATTTTAACATCAATCTAAGAATGATCACCTATATCCAATTCATTTGGTGGTATAGTTGGATCGGAGTTCCTCACATTAAAGTCTTTATAGTTGGTCATGGTCTTGTATTTTTTTCCTTGCTCTCAACACCAATCAACATGGATGTTGTTGATAATTTTTCTTATTGATGGTAGTTTTCTTGGGGGTACTCAGAAAACTTTGTAAATTTGTGCCTGCTATTTGAAAGTTTAAAATTAAGTTTTATTTTAACAATTTTCTAAAAAAAAAGAAGAAAAAGTCTACATCCATATTTTAACAATTTTCTTAAAAACAAGAAAAAGAAGTCGACATCATGAATGATGGCTGTAGCTTATTATGAACTTTACATAATATTAGACGAATTTCTAATTGATTTGAATCTATTTTTCTTTATGTGCAGGAGATTGTAGCATCTACTTTTAAGGAAATTCTTTCTGATGAACTGGAAAAGATTAAGGAGTCATCTTTCATTGACTGCAAGGAAATATCCGTACCCCATGTTGATGATTTAGTATGGGACTATAGTAGCCGGGATGTTGCCTATGTAACAACTGAAAATGAGTATATTGACTTGATGCTAGAGATGGAAAGGCTTCTTCGTAAAGATATTGAAGAGCAACTTATTGTCAAAGGTAACTTCAGGATCTATCTGCTTATATTTAGCATATTTCCCATCTCAAAGGTGTGGAAAATTTCTTATGTTTTTGTATCATTGAGTTTTACTCTATGAATTTGCAATGTGCCCTTCAAATGGAGTTTGAAACTTGACCATATACTGTGTATGTAATTTATTCCTGTTGTTTGCCTTGATAATTCTTGCTTGTTACTTGATTTTCCTTTCCAAATTGTACAAAAGGGTGGCTCTAAATCTTATTCTAGCAAAAAATTAACCATTCAACTGATATTCTGATAAGCAAGCTGTGTGATGCTCCCTTTATTTACATTTATCATCTTCATATAATCTAGGAAAGTATTGGGTAAGTCATCGACTCATGCGTCCCCCCTGCTTTTTAGGGATTTAGGACCCAAAACACATCCCAAATCATTACAAATCCATTTCTACCTCAGAGCCATGAATTTGGAGCTCCAGAAGTAGTACAGATTTGTTGATCATTGAAGCATTGAATGGGTGCATCCATTATAATTGGTGCACACCCGACACACCTAAACTCTACTCTTTAATTTATTATACTGATCTTCTGGGAGTGCTTAAACTACATAATATTTGAGTATTTGTTTTTTTTATTGACAAAAAAAGGTTCTTTTTATTTTGAGCTTCGTCCAAATTTGCATTAAGTGTTGTCCAAAAAACATACAAAATGGCCCAAAATTATTATTTTTTCCTTCAGATTCATGATTGTTGAGATGATCAACCTGTAAAATTTATGATCCAAAATCCAATTTATAAGGGTTGACCCACGGTAATAGGTGCGTCCCAGGACATGCCTAAACTCTACCCTTCAATTTATTTTACTGATCTTTTGGAATTGTCTAAAACAAATGATTTTTGGGTAATTGATTTGTGATCGGAAAAATAAGTGCTTCTTATTTGGAGCTTATAGTCCAGATTTGCATCGAATATATCAAGAAAAAAGTAAGTGAATTGAGTGGTTATTTGCAGATATAGCTGAGAACGAGGACTTTGAGAATGTTTCTCAAGCAGAGGAAGATTACATCATTCAATCTCTAGAACATTTACAACTTCGAGAGTGCCAGGTGTGCATGAGCCACTAACCTAGTATTTAATGGAATGGCACTAGAATATCAATACCCTTTCTGTAAAGGACTGATATACCACTCTTTCAAAAATGTTATGTATGCTTTTGCTTTTAAAGAAATAGCACCTATGCTTGTGGTTTCCTACTTTCCAACCAAAAAACTAATTTTCATGTTTTAACATATATTCTTATGAACCATGCATGGATTATGAATTATGAAAAAGTGGTTCCCCTAATCTTCTCCAATTAATTTCTTCCATTTGCGAAATGCATTTATTCTTCTAATTAGTTGATATATGACCTCTCTATGGTGTTTGGAAAGACTCATGCTATTAACCGACAAATTACCTTTGCTAGCGTTGTATCAAGATTATTCAAACTTGAATTCCCAAAAGGGAATAGTACCACTTGTATTTCAGTCAAGAACAATTCCACTATGCATGCATTCGCCCATCTGGATGTCCTGGCCCACTCCGTCTGGAAATAGTGCAGCAGTTAGTCGTATAAGATATTAAATTTTGAAAAAAATTATGATTTCAAAATTTATAATTTTTTTAATGGATTTCACTTTTGTTGAAAATCAAGAGGCTAGATATTTTTAAAGTGTATTTTTTACGTAACTCCTCACATGCAGATGAGGGAATTTTCATGTCTAAGATCCTTGAAGTTTGGGGGCCTATTGCACATGAGAGTTAGTGAAATAGGCAAGTTGGGTACTTCCTATAAAGCAGTTTTAGGGAATAGCAGCACGTGAGTCTATTTCACATCCTATTGGGAAGTTAGCAGCTTGATATCAGCTGAAAGTTGAGCTTTATGCCTTTATTAATCTTTTCATCTGGTGGTAATTATCAAATAAAAAGAAAATGAAAGTTCCATTAGGGGGCTTAATCAATTTAAATTTCTCTCTCTTGTGCTTCCTTTGTTCTGATAGATGCATACTTTTTCATGTGCTGTCATATTATTGATGTCTCGATGTATTTTGTTACTTCATTTTCACAGATGGTCATATGAACATTTTGGAACTCTTTCTGACATTTTCTTTTCCAATTTGTTGGACAGAAAGAAAATTTCTGGTGTCCTATTTGCACAAAGGGATGTTTGCAAGAGAAGCTCCATTTCATTTACTGTCGGTCCTGTAACCTTCAACTGGACATTCAAAGCGACAAGGTATCGTTATAGTGGCAGACTAATTCTTTAACTAGTTATTCATATGGTCCCAGCCTCCGGGTGTGTGTGTGCGAGAACATGCACGTGCATGCATGTGTGTGTGTGTGAACGTGCGCGCGCACATGTTAAGGTTCTTTTGTCCCTCCCTCAAGTTTGGATGTGCTAACAGTTAATACAAATTGCTGCAATCAATTTTGAAAATTTTCAGTCGCTGAAAGATACAAGAAACTTAATATTGCTGCAATCAAATTTCAAATTCTTCAGTTTGCTAAAAATACAAGAACAATCTTGACTACCAATCAGGGCGCTTATGTCCATATCAGATGGGCAGTGCTACTTTATTTATCATTTTATTGATACACTAGTTAACGCCTTAATTATTGACTCGCTCTTGTTCACCAAGGGATTGATACATGAAAAAATGGTGCAGGTTGATCTGGACTATTTACGCATGCGATTAGGTGAGGTCCTCGACGAGCATCTTGACAAAGGATGCCATGCAAAACCAGAGTTTTGCATGGAGAATAGGTTCGGCTTATCGGCATTGTATCTTCGTTGTTATGCCTGCAATAGCCTAGAGATTGTGTTGTGAAGTTTTATTTATTCAAATTTATAGAAATCCTTGTAAAGAAAATGTATTGTGGATATCCAAAATAGTCAATTTAATAAGGAAAAATGAAGTTTTGTTAAGTATCATGTGACATTCAAAGCCCACTAAGGAGGGGGGCAATTACCAAATTTCTATAAGAATGAGGGATTTTTCTTTAGAGAGAATTGAATGATAAAGGGGATAATACTTCTAATATTAAAAGGAAAGACAGTGATTCCATTTTTAGGAAACAAATGAGCAAAGGATTCACACCCAAGGGAGTTGGACAAACAACATACTTTTAATCTTTAAGGGAAATCATGGGAGCCAACATTTGTGACATTGGTTTCATTAGGAAACACAATGAGGCTAAGGGATTCACACCAAAGAAAGACAAATAGTCCAAAGCAAGTCTAATGCCCACATGTAGCCAATCAAATTACATACTATTTTCTACATATTGTATTTTAGGTTGAAATAAATTTTTTTAGAGCAATAAAATATCATAATCAAGAATAATAAAAAGTTCCATATTCCTCACATTTTCTAGAAAATAGAATAAATGAATCTTTACAAGCTGAGAATTTAACTTGTTATATGTAAAAATAATTCTAATTATTAGGAATCTTTTTTCTAATCCCTAATTTTAAAATGGAGGAAAATGTAAAACAATGAAAATTCATAATCCTAAATGAAAATTAAGAAAGTATAGTTCTTTTTTACTTAAAAATAATAACTCTAATGCCCACGTGGCCAATCAATTACATACTATTTTCTACATATTGTATTTTAGGTTGAAGTAAAATTTTTTATAGCAATAAAATATCATAGTCATAAATAATAGAAAGTTCCATATTCCTCACATTTTCTAGAAAATAGAATAAATGAATCTTTACAAGCTGAGAATTTAACTTGTCATAAGTAAAAATAATACTAATTATTAGGACTATTTTTGTTAATCCCTAATTTTAAAATGGACAAAAATATAAAACAATGAAAATTAAGAAAGTATAGTTATTTTTTACTTAAAAATAATACCTTGAAGAAATTTAAAAAAGTAATTCATCTTAGTTCATTATATTTAAGGAAACCTTGTAACAAGGTGGCATTCTTAGTTAATAGGAGTGGGAGATGCCAGGAAGCTTCAATAATGAAAAATACAACGCATTCTACATGAAAAAGGAGAATGTTAAGTCTTCTCTGTCTCCACACACTTAATTTATATGCGGCCATTATTAATATCAAATCTTAGTTATGGATTGACAAACTCAGTTATGGTTGACAAACTCAGCTTTTACAAGTTTACTACCCGGCTCATTTCTTGCTTTCCAATCAAGATTGGATGGTGGTGAGTTACCTCAACTTCCAGTATGTCAGCAACCATGAGACACTAATCCCATAAGAAAACAAAATGAATCAGGGGACCCAAGCTCAAAAAAGCCATCAACATATGACATTAATTCCATTAGGAAACACAATGAGCCAAGGGATTCAAACCCAAAAAGTTCAAACAACATATGACACTATATCCCATTAGGAAACAAAATGACTTACGGATTCAAACCCAAAAAGCAAGACACCAGAAGTCAGACAACAACATTTCAGCCATGAATGTGGATGGCGATGAAACCATATTCCACAATCCACATAAACAACAAAGAGGAAAAAGACTTCAAATGTAAATTAATGCCACATAAAAACCCCAGCCTAAATTAACTCGAAAGCAAGAAACACTCAGATTTTAGCTTAGCTTCATGCCTCAGGAACTCTAGCCAAGTCTCAAGTCCTCTGATGGAAACCCCCTAACACGAAGGTTTTGGCGGTTTTCCGGCTGCAAATATGTGAATAATTGCATATTTCGGCTTCCTAAGACAAGTGTGGATTCACAATCAGTCTCGTCGTCGAAACAATGCGCCACTTCTTCTTCCTAATAAAAAGTTACAATAAAACTAAATAATAAAGAAAGTGTAAAACAAAGAGTGTTTACCTATAGTATAATAAGATAACAATCAACGATAGCCATTATCTATCAATTCAGGCTGTCAAGGGTGTGTCATTGACTGCACTTAGCCGGGAAATGGCATCCCCAGCTGCCCGATTTCAAGAACAATAAAAGAATTGATTTTAATGGTGGAACAAAAAAAAAAAAATAGCAGAAGTTTTGATTTAGCATTAAGAGAGGTATATATTTTAGTAAAATTTGAGAGAAAAAGAAGCAAGTTAGAGAATTCAAAACTCCCACTCCTATTTATTCTTCTTAGTACAATATTGATATATTTGAAATTCTCCTATTTATTCTTCTTAGTTGAATAAAAATATATTGCAAAATATAACAAAGCAAAAAAAGAAAAACAATATACGCAAACAAGACAACCATGTTGCATTTTGAAGCATTCAGAACTTTGAGATATTTCCACCTATGAAAGCACAAAATCAGTGAGACATACTGAAAGAATGAGATGCATACCATTTGGAGCCTTATGGTGTTGTTTTCTGCCTCTAATTTATTTATCTGCAAACTCAAACCTTGGCTTTTTAATATAATGGCAATGAAATGCATCTCTCAGAGAAACAATGAGTAAACACAAGGGACAATCTTTACTCACCCTTTTCCTACAGGTATCAGTCTGGTTGGTAAGCAATTGGTTCTGTAAAAGGTAAGCAAAAAGAGAGTACACCATGGTTAGATACTCAAGATATGCCTATGTCTCTCTCTCTCTCTCACACACACACACACACACTCATAACTAACAGGAAGAAAGTTCACTCTCTTGCCATCCCTCACACAGATTCAAAACCAACAGGGAGATCTCTCTCATGCATACATACACCACCCCCCCCCCCCCCCAATTCAAAAGAAGGCTTCCAAAACAGGTCAAGATCGGATGAGTGTCACCAACCTTCTTGTCTCTGATACGTTTCACCCATTCCTCAAGATTTTGCTCAAGATCACGCAGATCCTTCCACCTCAACTCATTCAGTTCTTCCCCCATTTTTTGACTGTAATAGTCCACCACATACAATCCAGTGTCATCTACAATAACTAGTTAAACAAACCTTTCATTTTTAGAGAGAGAAAGAGAGAGCTCACCGTATGAGCTTCTGTAGCCTATTGTTCTCCTCTTTAAGGCTACTGAGCTCACTTTGCATTCTCTGCAATGAGTCGAGTTCATATATAATTTGTTCATTTTCTCTACGAATACTAATGTTTCACTGAATTGGTGCGCATTGTGGGAAGAAGCTATTCTTTTGTGTATGTGCGTACCCGTGCACATGAGAGAGCAAGGTGTATGTGTGAGGGAGGGATAGATGTGGGTGTGAGAGAGAGAAAGAAAGGTGACTGTGTGAAGAAGAGAGATGTGTGCGCAAGAAAGAAAGAGAGAGGTGTGTGTGTCTATGTTACCTAGATATAGACCAGTCTCCAAATCCTATTCTACAAGAAAGTACCATATTTGTAAGCAGAAAGTACACATCAGTGTTTTAAAACCCCGATCGGTGGGGCGAATCACTAGATCAGTGATTCGGATAAGGTCTAGATCAATCCAAATTAGTGATCAATAAAATATTTCAAAATAAATAAAAATTAAAAGAGGGGTTTTGTTTTGTGAGCCATGGAGAGGTCCTCTAGTAAATACCATTTTCATATTTTTTTCATTTTAAGCGAGCATAAACCAGTTAGAATATAATAGGCCTATGAAACAAACCTGGAGGGTACACCTTAGAGTTAAAAATTTGTGGCATTAGGTTGGACCATACTGGCTTTGTTTAAAATCTAGCTAAAAGCAATGTTTGACCAGTCTATTCTGACTGACTAGACCGATAAAATAACGATAACTCTTTCGCATATTTCATATTTTTAAACTATTTTCCTTTGAGTTTTTTTTCAAGTCTTAACCTTGAGGCCTAACTGAAGTTTCATACTGAAAAGATGGCCTGCTTCATTTGCATGAGAGAGAGATGTAAATATTGTCAAGAGAGAGCTAGATTGGTGCATTTATATGGTAGATGCTATGATGAATGATAACATTAAAATCTAAACATAATGAGAGAAAAGGGGACAACATTGATCAATCAGGCCTTGTATACAGAACAAGCCTATTAAGAGTGAGAAAGAAAGAGAATTAAATCCCCAAAAGTTACACAAAAAAAAGAAAATTGTTTCATGCTGGTTGCACCGCATTTCTACAATATACAGTCTAGAGGTATAAAGCATCCATCTTAAAGATGGATGCAAATAGGTAGTCCATCTAACAGCAATTGTCACTAACGGTCCAAATGTTTTCTTGATATAAATATTATTTTTTAGTTTTCAAAATTTATTTATTTTTTCATATTCATGGTCTCCATGTTAAAAATTATATATTCTTTAAAAATTAAGATCAAATTATATTTAAAAAATATATTTATTGCCATGCCCGCATTTCTACAATATGTGGGCTGGCCGTATAGAAACTGTGTCCCACAAAATATGCCTTATTGTGTATTATTTAAAAAAAAAATAGATTTATAATCCATGAAGAACACATATGCTATGATTCCCCGTAAGGATATTGTTCATCAACTCCCTCAATCAAAAGACTTTTGCTCCAAAAATTTGGGAACCACCTAAGAATCCAAAGATGTTTTCTAAAAATATAAAAAATTGAACTTTGAGATTTTGACACTTAGATCTCACCTCTCATAAAAAATGAGACGGTTTTGTTCAATCCCAAGACATTATTTTTTTCTCTTCTTTAATAAAGAGTTCAATTTATATAAAAAAATATGCAAAGACTATTTACTTTTGGTACAAAGAGATCACAAACATTCTTGTCCGTTAGATTTCAAATAAGATGTCCGTTATACATATATATAGAGGAAGTCACTACACAATACTTATGGTAAAAAATGAACAGTGTTTTTGCCCATAGGCTCAGCACCGTCCAATTTTTTCAGATGGTGTGGATTAAAAGACCTGCAACGGACCTACTATATCCGTTGTAGTACATAGTAGGTCCCTTGCGGTAAAAAAAAAAAAGAAAACTACCACGGACCACATTTTGTCCGTTGCGGCAAGAAAAAAAAAATAGAAACGGCCACGGAGTACATTTTGTCCGTTGCGGCTCCATTAAATAAACCGCTATGGACATAACATGTCCGTACGGGGCAATACACAGTTCAAAATTGCCGTGTTTTTAAGAGTTTTCCATATATATATATATATATAATCTATCCCCCAAATATAGTGTCTCGAATTTATCCATATTGGGTTCTACCTGAAGGAGTAAATGGACAGTTTAGTAAAAAATGTTTTGACATCAATAGAAAAGAATGAAAAAACTTACCTCGTAGTGAGTATCCCATAAGTTGGTATCAGAAACTCGCTGATACCGATCATATATTTCCTTTGGGCTTCAAAAGAAAAAGAAAAAAAAAATGGTGAGAAGACTCGTAGAGAGAAACAACTGAATGTAGACTGGTTTACAAGAAAAAAGAAAAGAAAAGGGAAGAAGCATTGTAGAGAGAGAAAGAGAGTGAGCTTGAAGTGGGTTTTGAGTGAATTAGGTGTGAAGCCTACAATTGAGCCAAAAAAACAATTGTGGTGAGAAGACTTGTAGAGAGAGAAACCATTGAAACTTTGAAAGTAAAGTGGATTACCTCAAAACTGGGGGAGAAGCATTGCAGAGAGAGAACAAAGAGAATGAAAAAAAATGTGGGGAGAAGAATTGTAGAGAGAAACAATTGAAAGTAGAGTGGATTACAAGAGCAATGACGCAAGAAGCATTGTAGAGAGAAAAAGAGATTGAGAGTGAAGTGGGTTTTGTATAAATTGAGGTGAGGAGCCAAAAAGAGAATGAAAGAAAAATGTGGTGAAAAGACTTGTAGAAAGAGAAATAGGTGGGTTTTTTTACCCCGTAAAGTGGATTAACTGAAGAAAGAGGAGAAAGAATTGTAGACAGAGAAAGAGAATGAAAATGAAGTGGGTTTTGTAAGAAATTATGTGAGAGGCCCTGTAGAGAGAGAAAGTATGCAGAGAGAGAAATTTGTTTACCTGGTAGAGGGGCTGCAATATTCACTGAGTTTCCCAGTTGTCGAGAACATGATGAGAGAGACTTGGGCATCGCAGAGGACTGCGAGTTCCCTTGCCTTCTTAGTGATGCCTGCTCTCCTCTTTGAATAAGTAACCTGTCGATTTGTTGGGTTCTCTATCCTCTTTATCTCTATCTTCCCCCTACCCATCTCTCTCTCTAAAAAACACTCTCTTTCACACAAACCAAACTGGATTGCTTTTCTTTCAAATATACACAAACTCCACTTGACAACCTCTCTCTCTAACAAAACCAAATTGGACTCTCTCTCTCACACACATGCACACAAACTCAACAGTAAACACAGGTTTCCTTTCTTTCACATTTATGCAGCACCCAACTGGACTCTCTCTCTCTCATGCACACAAACTCAACAGGAAACACAGGTTTCCTTTCTTTCGCACACAGAGAGTCAACACAAAGCACAGATTACGTTTATTTTATACAAACCCAAGTGGACTCTCTCTCTCTCACACACACACATACAATCCCGACTGCAACCACAGATTCCCTTTCTTTCACATGTATACAAATCCCACTTTCTCTCTAAAACACAACTGGAAAATAGTCTCTCTAAAAACAATTGAAAACACAGCCTCTCTCTAAAACGCAACTGGAAAACGCAGTCTCTTTTTCTTTCACATTCACTCAAACCCAACTGGAAACCACCACAATCTCTCTGTGGAGAAACCCATTGCCTCCCTTTGAGATACCCTTGGGGAGCGCCATTGCTTTGCAGATAAAAAGGGTGGGGGGAGATGGCGCATGGAAAAGGCATTGCCTGTTTAAGGAAAGGAAGCCAAAAAGTGGAGGTTTCCTCTTTCGTGAAAATGGCGACCCCTCTTCAGTTCTTGTGGAAAAAGGAGACAAGTGTGAGAACGTGAGATGTCTTGCCTCTTTAAGCATTCCTCTCTTTTTTATTCAACCCCCACCTCTCTCCTCTTTCTTTGCCCTCCCTCTTCTGATTCTCTCTCCTCTTTCTCTCTCTACTCTTTATTTCCTCTCATTCCCTCCCCTTTCTTCTCTCATCTCTCTCATATCCCTCCGCCTTCTATCTCTACTCTCTCTTTTATCAAGGAGTAATAGCATTTCGATCCAGGTTTTGATTTTGGACCTATGCCCATACCGGTCGAGTCCTGGATTTACCCGGTCTTCGATTTGGTCGGGTTTATTGCCACGGAGGTTTTTTTTTTTTTTTGTCTTTTATTATTTATCATCATGTACCCGTATTGTATTACAGGCAATAAATCACAACCATCCCCATTAGATTTCAACTCATATGATTTGTAGTTTAATAGCGATTTCTTATTGCATACAATCATTAACACACCAGAACAATATTATATACCATCCTTAATATACCCAGACAAATAGATCTTAAAGTAAAATATTTTATCTCCAACAATTTACATGTACGAGTCGGATCCGTCTGGACCCAACCGAAATAGTATTCGGATCCAAAATTTGGACCGAGACCGGGTGCACAAATTGAACTATTCCTTGACCCGATATCAAGTCCCGGGTCTAATTTATCTCCCCTCTTGCTCTCTTTTTCTCTCCCTTTGTATATCTTACTCTTTTTATTTCCCTTCTTTACCTTCTCTTCTCTCTCCTCTTTCTCCCTTGTTTCAATCCTTCCTCTCTCCCTTCTCTTCTCTCTCTTCCACTACGTTCCCATCCATGCACATACATACATACATACATGGCATCGTTGACGAAACAACCAGCCAAAACCCAGAAATTTTGGAACCCCGAAATGTTAAGGAAACTGAAAATGAGCGGGGAATCTGCAGTGAAACGAAAAAAGTAGCGTCGTGGTTTGACAGGACAGGACAGGACAGTGGTAGAGAGTAGATTAGAGTAGAGTAGAGTAGAGAGCGTGTGTAACACGGCCAAATGGGGGGAAGTGGTCCACCACACTCGATGGTCAACACAGCTTGGTGAAAAAGGAAAGTGTTCAAGTGCATGTTGGGTCCACACTTCAAGGTTAGCACGGTTTGGTGAAAAATATGGAGAGAGTGAGTGAAACCATTTGTAACACGGGTGACAGAGGAAAAAGGGTCCGAGGTTTAAGGCTTGCCTCGGTTGGTGAAATAGTAGAGAGAGAGAGGGAGGGCGAGGGGACCATTAAAGAGGAGAGAGGAGAGAGGAGAGGGAACCTTTGTAGAAAGAGACAGACGGGGGAGAGGACCCTTTCTAGAGAGAGAGGAGAGAAAGGGGAGGTGACCAATTATTGGGGCAGCTGGGTTCCCTCCTTTAAAAATGATGGCATCTCATCGATTTTGTGCGACTGCAGGACCATGATAAAGAGGAGATGAAAATTGTACCTCTCTCTCCCATCCATGTTAAAAGGGCATAAAATTGGACCTCTCTCTCTCTCTCTCCTCCATGTTAAAAACGAGATAAGATTAGAGAGCTCTCTCTCTCTGGAAAGGAGATAAAATGATGGTCTCTTTCTCTCTCCCTCCTACTAGACAGGAGAAATAAATTATAGTCTCTTATTATTGAGTACTAAAGGTTAAAATGGACATATCTGTGTGAACTGTGGAAGAAATCAAAACGTAGGTAAGCAAAAATTGCCCTCGTAAAATGGGAAGAGGCCATGGACCTCACACTAGAAAAGGAAGAGACTATTCTCTCTTTTTCTTTATACAATTTGTCTACTATCAATATGACAAAAGTGAAGAAAGAATTTTCTCTCTTAATAAAGCAAGAAAGTCTAGCCCAACTATCTAATCTTGATCAGATAAAATAATGAACCGGACAACAATGCTCCATTTAAATTCCAATTTTCAAATCACAAACCCATCTTTATCATCATCTATTCAATCAATGGATCATAATGGAAGGAGCAAGATCTACAAGGACATGAATCAAAAAGTAGGTTCCACTCCCTGTCCATCATTAATAATCTTTTGATAGGATGGATAGTATTATCAGAACCAAACCAAACTGGCCCACCAAACCAACGCTCCAACCGGATACTAAACATGTTCACTTGACGATCTTGAAAGCACATAAGTTCTTAAATATTTGTTTAATATATTTTAGGGGTTATGAACTGTTTTCATCGGACCAACTAGTTTGATTACCGGTTGAACCACAAAACACTAATCTGTTTCCCACTCCAGTCCAGTTCTTCCTTCACGAATAATGTGCCTAACAGGCCTCGGCATCAAAACCTGGGCCTGAGAGTGAGAGAACCATCCCAAGATCAAATGGCATGTTTCAGTCAGAAATCGCCTTTTTCGGCCTATCAAAATTTGAAAGAACTACTCTTTCTTTTGTAGGGTTATCTACCTGAGGGCCAAGGCCAAGGCCAAGCCCAAGCCCAAGTTGTGAGGATTGCATTTCATGGGTAATGTCCTCGTACTTTCATGTAAAAGCATCATTCTACCTATCAAAACTAGGAAAACATGGCCCATTAAATACCAAAAAAGGAGAAAAAATGCCAAAAAAATAGAGTAACCCTAAAATTTAAGGCATAAATGAACAAAATCAACTTGCTTTATCAGCTGTTCTTTGAAAGCAAACCAAGAACTCTATGTTTCCTTCAGCTCCCTTTAAGGGTGATTCTATCCACCCTTTGCTGTCGAACCCAAAATCTTCCACACCACCTATTATTCTTTCAAGCACCTACAAGAAAACAAAACCAAGTTTTTCTTATAAATCACTATAATTTTGCAGGCACAATCTCTCTCTCTCTCGCTCTTCATCGTGACTAATTTTGCAGCCACAATCTCTCTCTCTCTCGCTCTCTATCTCTTCATCATGACTACTTTTGCAGGCACAATCTCTCTCTTCTCTTCCCCCTGGGGGGAGGAAAAATAAAATAAAAGAAAAATTTACCTCTTTGTGGACTTGGGAATCTTTCACAATTCCACCTTTACCTACCTGCAACAGAAATAAATAAATCTGAGAGCATATTCACCTACAAGAGAGGAGTTAAAACATAATTACTCAATAACATGCAGCAACTTCTCTATTTGTTTTTCTATTTCATGTCAATGCCTTCTGCGTAGTCATGAAAAGATCCAGGAAATCGTAAAGGGACAAACGACTTTATGTGAAAACTAAGGGGAAACTACACAACCATTCGTAATCTTAGTTTCTTCAGCCATCATTAAGCTTTTATGCTGCTTCAGGGACAGTTAACATGTAAAGGTTTCTTATAAATCCCAACCAGTAATTTACAACTCGCCAATTTCCAAGATATTATTTGTTGATTTTTTTTATGACTTGGCCGATTCTTAGTGGGACTCAGCTTACTCAAATTGCCTTAAGCAGGCTTGAACCCTAGCGAGTCCCAACCCGAGCCCATGGTTTAAAACACTGGTCCGAACAATAATAAGGCATCAAACATATCATGACTTCATGCACACCAAAAATAGTTACTCTGATGAGCAATTGTAGCATAACACCAAACCATGTACAGTAAGAGAAGCTATAAATATACACCGCCAACCCTGAGGTTACAAGTTTGTACCCAGTTTCCCTATAAAAAACATAAATATACACCAGTACATCTCCTTATCAGAACCTATATTTTAGTCCTGCCTTCAATGATACGATCGTATATGGTTGGGATACCCATAAATGTTTTTAGCAAAGAAACTACCCATAATCCATTTACTAAAAAAGAAAAGAGAAACCCAATATTTTAATATAAAAAAATGCACCATCTAATCCTTTGCATGGGGCCATAATAACCAAGATGCAAATGTTAAATTTTATAATTCCAAGGTATTTGGAACAGTTAAAGGTAAAGTATACCAGACACCTGTGCTGTATGGTATATCGTAAACCACAGGGACATTAACTGTCCATGCCCAATGAGGGAGTAGAGATTCCAGGTATCCTGAGGAATACCCAGCATCAGTAGCTAAGCTTAATCTAGACAGTTCATCATATAAATGGATGGTGGATACTTCCATGCTGTACCAAATACCATACACTGCTTATCCACAATATTATCCAAACTTCAAAGAATGATTTTGGGATTTGCTACGTCAGTGATTTCAATGCAATAGGTTTAGTGTATTCAAGATTGCAGAGCCAGTGGTGCTGTCTACAAAAGACAGGAGTAGCCGGTTTGTCCTGTTCATAACAGAGCTGAGTCCCTTTTCAATGATTGGAAACCTGTTCAGAAGCAGGGGAACAGAGTCTACAGTTGCATTATGTGTCTGTGTAAACTGTTCAGAAGATAGAGACTATAGTTTATACATGCATTATGTGTGTGTGTATGGAGAGAGAGAGAGAGAGAGAGCAGTGCATCCAATCCCATTACAACATAAGCTGAGAGAGAGAGAGAGAGCAGTGCATCCAATCCCATTACAACCTAAGCTGCATGTCCAGGAACAGAACTAGGATGGACAAATCTCCCCACAGCTACTAATAGAAAAAGATGGGCAAAGGAACCTTTTAATAAAAAGACAATACGCTATGGATCAAATGGACAAAAACAAAATTGTTTGGGCTTTGGACGCATAAATGGTGGTCCCGGGGGACCAAATTTTGATCCCACAGGCAAAATGCCCAATTGGCGGAACCTGTGTTACCTTAAAAATTTCTCAAAAATCTTCAAGCATCCTAAGATTAATGTCCAAATAAAATTATTTTGGGCTCAAGAGTACCCCTTATCTGATGTCCACTGAATGGAAGGTCCAGATTCAGCATATGGATAGATTGAGTTGTGGCATTTTTTGAGCTCCCCCTCCTTCTGGAGAAAATAAAAAATAAAAATAAGTACAAACACTAATAGGTTGTTATAAACACTCTTAACTCTCTAAGAGTTCGGGGCTCAACAAATCCCCCTAATAGGTGCTTGACCTGCAGACCAAATAAGCAATCTGGTTCAAGAGGATTTTTACCAAATCTCTTTCCTTCAGCTTTTGTTCATGATAATGCAGACCTTGCTGGTTTAGATGAAAGTGATGGTACAAAACCAATTTGGGGCCACAGAAATCTGCTTGGATATACTTGTACATATGTGTTTCATAGTTTCAAAAAGCGCTAGGCGGGTCCTAGGCGGCCTAGGGGTCCAGGCCGCCCAGCACCTAGGTGGGCGCCCAAAACCTGGACGGCCCAGTTGAATCCAAAAAGGATTCTACAGTTATATATTATATAAAATATAAGAATTAGGTATTTAGGGCACATTAGAATTGAAAGTATACTAAACATTAGCCCACACTCCATAAGCATAACCATAAGTCGATCCATAATCCATATCCAATTAAAACTTAAAATTTATCATTCATAGTTCAATCAAAGTTCAAAGTTTAATACTTATTCAACATTCATCATTCATCATCAAAAAAATTAGGGTCAGCTGCATTGGCATCATATTCATCGAAGTCGTGACCCTTCTTAACATATTGGTCGTCCTCTTCCGTCTCTTCTGAATCTGCCTCTTCTTCCTCCTCCACCCTCATTCTCTATGCAGAAGATCTAGTGGCCCTAGGAGGGTCAGCTGATGTCCCTGAAGCATCCATGACTATGTCCCATGTCAATCCTTCATGCCCCTCGACTTCATCATCATCAATTAACTACTCTATAGCACTGTCCATATTTTTTGATCTGATGGGGTCTCTCTTATCTCTCTTAGCAAACCTGTCCTTCAAAAATCGATTATCCTTGACATAGACTAGGTCATTAAGCCTCTTTGATTCAAGCATGTTCTTTCTCTTTGTATGAATCTAACAAAATCAAATGAAACTAATTAAAATCTAAGGTTCATGTATTATTAATACAATTATACAAATTACCCTTACGGCCTTACCCTTTGAAAAGTACTCCAATTGCGCTCACAACCGGATGAGGAAGTGGTTAGGTTTAAAATCCGAATAACCAACTTTTGTAAATTTGAAAAACGACACCCATGTTGGCTCCACCAATTGGCTGCAAAGATTTAGAATAAAATCATAAATAATAGAATTATAAAAATGAAACTTGATTACTCTACCTGGATCAATTTTGGTCCTTTGCCTCATCGCCATTAGACTCCCAAAAGACTTTAATGATCATCAGCGCATATAATATCCTGAACATCAGGATCAGGGACTAGCACATCTACACACTTATTAAATCCAATTATAATTGTGTCATTTGTGTGTATATTCTTGTTAACATAAAAAAAAAAGCTAGGGTTCAAATAATAACCAGCTGCATGCAATGGCCGATGTAGCTGCCTATCCCACTTCTCATCAATAATCTCCCAAACAGGCTTGTAGCAGTTCTCATCATTATCTAAATTTTAGGCTATCTCTCTTTTGCATTTGTCTATAGCCTCATATATATAGCCCATAGAAGGCTTGTCACTATCAATCATGCGAAGGACTCTGACGAGGAAAAAATACCTTAAGAGCGTCCTTCACCCCTTCGCAAAAAGCCTTAGATAGGATAATATCTCTCACTTTCTTCCCAACTTGATCCTTTGACCACTTACATGCTCTCGAGTCAGCCGAGGTAAACATCTGCCTCAACTGCACTCTCCTTGAATGTATGCTATCTAGGCATAAGTACCAGGTCACAAATCTCGTAACCCTAGGCCTCACAATCTCTTTCTTCTTTGTAAATCTACACATCATTATGAGGGTGAGATGGCGGCCATAAATGAAATTTGTAATTGACTTTGCCTTCTTCACTGCACCTGATATCTTGGTTAAACCGCCAAGAGCCTCAAGCATGAGGTCTATACAATGTGCGCACATGGTGTCCAAAAGATTCTAGGATAAGCTATGAGCAACAAATTAGCTGCAGCAACATTAGGAGCAGTATTGTCTCTGACAACTTGTACAACATGATGCTCCCCAACCTCCTCAATTCCTTTCTCTAAAACTTCGAATATGTAATGGGCATCATGGATATGATCAGAGGCATCAATAGACCTCAAAAAAATAGTCCCTAAAGGACAATTTACAAGCAAATTCATCTGACTTCTTCTCTTCCTATCACTCCAAGCATCAGTCATAATAGAAACCCCACACTAAGCCCATGCATCCTTCTTAACTTCTACAGCTTTCTTCGTGACACTCACCGCCTTTTTCAAAAGAGGCTCTGAAAGCTCATATGGGGTTGAGGGTTTCATCCTAGGCCCAAAGTGGCCAATTACCTCTACCGTGGCATAGAAGCTGCTAAGCGAACGATATTGAAAGGAATGCCCATCTTATAAAATCATGTAGCAAGATAACAAGCAGCTCTATCGCTCTCTTCCTTCTCCATTTTATTTTCAATGGTGGTTTGCTTCTTTATTTTCTCTCTTGCAACCTCAAGGTCAAGCCGAGGCAAAAAACTATCCATAGGGCCTCTAACCCGAGGCTTCTTACTCCCAAAACCAGAAGCAATTACAACTCTTTTTCCCTTTTCCCTAATAATGGATTGTTCTACTTCTACCTCTTGACATCCCTCCCCAAGCCCATCCTCATCACTATCATCATCATCATCATAATTGACCCGAACCCCATACCTAATCTCTGCTATGGAGGTAAATCTCCCATCTTTTTTTATTTTTACCATATTAAAAAAAATTGTTATTTCCTCTTTAACAGCATCAGGAGTCTTTTTACATGGGGCAGCATCCCCCCTGATACCGACAAGATAGTTTCTTGAACGGGTTTATGCCCCCTTTTGTATCCTTCTCACAAAAATTGCATTTTATGCAATATTTATCATTAGGATCTGGGTTGTAACCATATTTTCAACTGGGATCACAACTCTTATTAGATCCCGAAGAAAACATATCAAAATAATGTAATTTATACAAGCAATAAAAAAAATCACTTACTTTGAGTTTGATTGCTCAATCTCCAAACTTCCACCTCAAATATGCTTCTAAGGATTCACAATCTTCTAAAAACTCCCCTAATAGATTTATAAAACATCAAAAATTAAATCTAATATCAATGGGTGATGTTTTGATCAATATCTAATAACTTTGAGAAGCCCTTCGATCCTAAAGAAATCACCAAAAAACTAATTTTTTGGGGGCTTTCTCTCTCTAAAATTGGCTCCAATAAGTTTTAGGTTTCAAATGGACCTAAAACCCCCATTTTTGGCCCTTTAGTATAAAAAAAAAAAAAATGCCCTTCACCAAACTGTTTTCCGCCTCTGGGCGGGGCACAGTCCCTGGGCGGCCGCCTAGGTGGTTTCCTGGGCTCCTAGGAGGGCGCCCAAGGATTACCATTTTTTTAGGGTGCCTAGGCCTGGGCGATGCGCCCAAGCCACCAGATCCGCCTAGGCGGCCGCCCAGGCACTGGGCGGTCCGCCTTTTGGAACATTGATGTGTTTGCATGTGTGTGATGTATCCAGTGTTATCGCAATACTTCTGCCCTGGGCTGGTGTCGCACGTCGACACTAGAGGACACCTTTACACTTGAGAACATATTTAGTGTATTAAAATTAATAAATATTATCAGGGGCTTATAGTGGGATCTGAACCCTAGTTATTGAAGCTTAGAGTCCTCGTACCACTTCCCCATCCACTTCTCATAAAATCATAGAGATGTGTCTAACCATGTCAAATTTTTAGGCAGAACACTTGTAGACAGCGACACTCATGTCGATGTCCATGTAACACTGGTTGCATCTGCATGCATGTGTGAGTGTGTGTGTGTGTGTGACAGAGAGAGAGGCCAAAACTACAGTATGAGAAACATATCTCCCATGTTGCCAATTATTATTTAGGTCATGAAATCACAGATACTTCATTCTGTGATAAGAAATAGCATTGATTAATCATATCGCTAAGGACACCTTGTAACCCAGAAAACTGGGGTCAAGTCACATAATGAAGGTTGTTTTCTTTTTCTTGCTTGGTTTCAATTTTCATATTGATTGAATCACATGAAAGAAGGGCAATTCTTTACTTCTTTATAAATAATAGAGACAATGGAATAATGATACATGTAAATGCCTCGAACGTTATCATAATTTACAACATGTGCTTCTTTTTTTTCCGCTCCTTCCACTCTAATACAAATTTAATGAAGCTCAAGCTAGGGAATTTTAGACAACATCATCAAACGACAAAAATTTAAACCAGTATAGTTCAAAAAACACATCATCAATACAAAAAAGTATTGGACAAGATAACTTAAACAATCAAACTTCAAAAAAGAATTTACTTACTTGGGACCTCCGGGCTTCAAACTGGGGTTTGACCAATGTAACCAAAGTAGATACAGGCTTCATGACATTAACTACTGCCGGCATAACCTGCAACTGGATAAAATAAGATCGTAGATACACTAGAATATTGTGCATATAGTGAAATGAAAGAACAATTAACCCCTAATAAAAGAAAGGAAAAATATCATCTACGGGATTGAAACCCCTTCCAAAATCATTAAAGGGGTCAAATGATTCCAATTAACATTGAGGTTTTTTTTTCTTTTCGCTATTTCAGTTAGGTATTTCTCCAAAAATAATTTAAAAAATTCCTAAATTGCCTTTGTTCAGGATTGGAAAGACTGAACAAGCAGGGGCATTTTAGTAATTTGACCCCCCAAGGCCCTAAACCACTGAAAAAAATACCCCTATTTGTTTTCGAATATAAATAAGGAACACGTTATCCAGGGTTCCTATTGAGGAACAATTAGGGTATTTATGTCATTAGCCACATGCAAGTTATTTGGGTGCCAAATGAAAAAAATATACCCCGAATTGTTCCTCATTAGGAACCCTAAACAAGTGTTTCCTTATTTTTAATCATTAACAAACATGGGTATTTTTGCTATTTTGTTGGGGGCCTCTTAAGGGTCAATATACGAAAATGCCCCTAAATATTCAACCTTTCCGATCCTAAACAGAGGCACTTTGAAAAAAAATTAAAATTCTTTTTGAGGAGGTGCTTAAGTGAAATGAAAACAAAAATGCAACTTAATTGGAATCATTTGACCCTTTAAGTATTTGAGAAGGGGTTTCATCCCCTTTAAGTAATATTTCCCCTAAAAAATTAACAATCTCAACCACAGTACATAAAGCAGTTGTCAGCCTCATGGCAAGCTCAAATTATAGAGAATAACTATTGTTGATCGACAATATCTGAGAAATTAACCCACTAAAGAAATTATTTGAAAAACATGCTTTGATTCGTAAATGTTAAGTAAAAGTTTTTAGAATAGGCCTTCAGAAATTACATATGTCTTCCTATACTTACTGCATAGGGCAAGTTTCGTGCATGCAGTACAATCAATCCTCTAGGATACAGTGGATAAATACTCTGAAATTCGCACAGAAGCCTTCAGAAGATGATATTTAGAAAAACATTGTTCCTTTTTGGTCTTTTAGGATTGAAAACAGCAGTGTGGTTGATTGTCCACAGCTGGTGAGACTAAGATTCTCAAAAGCGAAAAAAAAATTCAATTTGATTTTGGAACACATCAATTGCTAGCTGGGACAACTCGTCTAAACTATTTTTTTGAACATTAACACATGACAACTCTGTTAAATTTTTGCCACAGTTAAGACTCATATTCAAGGTTCATCACTGCCTACATATTCAAAAAAAAAAAAAGGTTCATCACTGCCTATAAAGCTGTATGGATTAAAATACACTACTTCTAAAAAAAAAGGCAGTGCCACCTAACAAGCATAAAGGCATCCAAATGAGTATTCAACAACTATGGTATAAGAGAAACGCCATCCTAGAACTCTAGAAGTATCTTATATTTTGATATCAGAAAATAGTTATTGTTTTAAAAAGTTTTTTTTTTTTTAAGTGAGATTTCATGCTATTAGAATTCTCAATGTGTTATTGTATACACGCGAATCCGAGACCGACTAGACCAAGAGAAGTCCGATCTGTCTGAGATTGTGCGCAAACTTAGTTATTTAAAAGAGTCAAGAGAGGTGGGTCCTATCAAATTCAGATCTATAGAGGAACCAACCTTAAAAGGCCTATTCTTTGCAGATCTGCGACCGATCTGGCTTAGATAGTCTGAAATCCGAAATAAACACAAAACAAAAGAAAACAGACATAACAAAACTAAACTAAAGCAAAGTACTAATGAGATACAGATGAGATAATAATGAAAATAAAGACAAAGTTCGAAATAAACTAAATAAGGTAATAAAAGGATGAAAAAAACAAAAGAAAATTAGGAATAACAAATCTATTAAGAAAAGAAAACAAATGAACAAAATAAAATAATAAACCAAAGCAAAAACAAAGGAAACTATACGGAAAAGAAAGAAAGAATCTAGAAGCAGGGTCCCCTTAGGCTCGGCACCCGGAGTTGTGCCTGGATCAAACGGCGAAGATGAGTCCCTACTCCTCGATCTTCAAGTTGATGATCCCGATTGAATGAAAGTAACCCGAGGAAAGACAAATATGGCTAGGAACTCTTACATCTGGGGCTTTTGTTGATAGAAAATGACTTATTTTGATCTTTAAAGTTGTAGCAAGGTTCGTAGATCTAGGGTTTAAATGACCCAAAGCTAGGGTTTGAGGTTTGCAGGATTTCTATGACTTGGGATTTGGGTTGAGGTTTTTGTTAGGGTCTTTGTTCTCTAAAATGGTTGGAAAAATGAATTTTATAGGCAAACTACACACCAAAACAAGAAGGCGGTGGTATGAAGGTGACACATGGACCTCACTGCAATTTGCAGTGCAGATTCTCTCTCCTTCGCACCACTTATTGCGGCGTTGATCTTTCTTTACAGTTTTGATCAGAACGCCGTGCTGAGTCTAATGACGGTGGTCTGATCGAATTTGGACGCTTCTAGAAGGTCACGCATCGCGATTGCTCCTTTTCAAGTCATAGAAACTGCCTAATCTGGAAATCTGGCTTCTTTATTAGGAGATTTTGAAGTATTGACCTACCTATCTTGGGAGTTTGGGAATATTTGGCCTCTAAAATGGGATTTTCAGGATATCTAAGGACTTTGAGATTATTTAGGGAATATTCTAGGGCTGGACTATGGTTTGGGCATCACCACGGTTAAATATGTCCTATGTTGTATTAGGATAGTGTGCTCCAGGGTTTTAGAATTCATAAATAAAGTTAAATTCGGAGGGGGGGCGTCTATGTTTGAGAGCATGTAATTCTAGGGGATATTCATAATAATTTATGTTAATAATTTCATAGCATAAAATAAACATCTCAAATTTGGTAAACACAACTTTATAAAGATGCTTAATAGCAATTGAATGTTAAAATTTACAAAAAGGAAATTAGATTTTTTTTTTTTTTGGTAATTTAGTGGGGTTGAGGTCATCTACCCATGATATGAATAGAACTCAAAACGTCATGTTGTGGTGACCCACCACCTTGACAACCTATCCTTGAGCCTTAACGCTAATTCGTTGAGAAATCAAAATATGGCTAAATTTCATACTCCTCCACACCAAACATAAGAAGTAAAAAGAAAATCCCTAAAAACAAATCTCAGGCATGGTTTGCATATTCTTTTGATACTTAAGGAGTGACGTACCACACATAAATGGCATATTTCTTAGAACAAACTTACAAGAAGTATGGAAATGAAAGAAAGGTCAAGAGTGACCAGATCCACTTTCTGAGGAAGCTCTGAGAGATATCTTAAGTTGGTCCGTTCTATCACACAAACCCTTTCATCTCGGCGAATTTTCTCGGCCACCTACAATTGCAAATTAAATTTCTCAAAACTGGTAGTCATACAATAAGCCTAAAAGAAGACTAACAAACACCTAAAAAGAAGACTAACAAATACGGTATCCATACTTGTCCATAGCCTACATCAACTCCATAAACAAAAGTTGCCCCATATTGGAGCAAACAGTCAGTGAATCCACCAGTGGATAGTCCCGAATCAAGGGCAACTTTCCCAGCAACATCAATATTTAATTGTTCAATGGCTGCTTCTAGCTTGTATCCTGCTCTGAAACAAATCAAAAAATGATGTAGACTATCAAGAATGCTTCCATTAAAAGATAGGCTTGGGTATAACAAGTACTTTGAAAAACGGTTGCTAAGTCATAGCCAAAGATCATCACCTACATACATATTTTGGAATTTCAGCTATTATTTCTACAACAGCTTTGTCAAGAGTGGGTGCCCCAGCCTTAGATACCACTCTACCATCTACATAAACCTTACCTGCAAGATAAGTTTTCATTCAGAATAAGAGAGTAAAATCAGAGGCAATGAAAGTGGCTGATTCTATCAAAGAGCAAAAGACATGGAGGGAAGGGAAATAGACCATAATTGTGGACCTTTTGTCCTGGACCAGTGAACATGACTGAGGGGGAAAGCATATAGTCCTACTTAAAATTTTCATAACCTCATTCAGCTATGAAACCCTTTAAGAAAGACCTTGACAGTGATTTTGGTCAAAATTCTAAACCTGAGGGATTATATGAATGACATGGAGGACTAAATCAAATGCAAGGAGTAAATCGAATACAAAAGAGATGAGGCATGAATAGGTGAAAAACATATTTATTTTAACTCGACAATGTTCCCGCCCCGAATAGAGCAACTTCTCTGATAACCAACATATCCAGTTAAAGGGATCAGACTTGTTCCAACTTAAGAATATAACCAACCATTTATAAAGCACAGAAAAATAAGGGGAAGAAAGAACTAACCAACCTTGTAGGATCCAAGACTGTATTAATGTCCGACTATATTGCTGAAACCTTTCGAGACAAAGTTCATCCAGCCTTTTCTTCCTAATAAATGTAAAAACATCTTGATTATATTACAAAAGTCTTCCCTTCTTAATATTAAAAAAGACATGGCCACAATATCAATGAAGGTGAGCCATGAAATATTATTCAAGCATAGCCACCCTATGAGAGCAGAGCAAACCAAGGGGCGAGAATAATCACAATGGATACTTTGTATAAGTACAAGCAATGCACTTCTCTTTTTTTTCTTTTTTTTTGGGTCTAAAATTCACAAATGCACTTCGCTTTTCTATGAAAATGCATTCACACCAGCAGGAGCAGTCACGATTTATAGACAAGACATCAACAGATTATTGCAAGACACCAGGAATATTGGACATTTATATTGATAGATCCACATAATCATAGATTCCCATAAACATATCTAAACACTAAAAATTTAGAAACGGTGCTCAAATGTAATTTTTGTGCTCTAACCAACATATGTATGCATATGCCTTCTATACATTCTTCAATCTCGAATTTTTATGTTCCAAGTTTGCAAATATCACAATCCATTCTTCCCTTAGTTTTGCATTTTATGTCCCACTTAGTTATCATATAAATACCCAGATGGGTCTTCGGGTTTCTTACACAATTTTTAACACATTGTTTTGCAAATTTCCAATTAGGAATCCTCTTCAACAAAAGTAAAACAAGTTATGACCATAAATTTTAATGGCAAATATATAATCCCCTCAACACTCATCCAAGATATTCATCACATAATAACAATAACAAAATAATATTTCCTCAGATATTTCACAAAACATTTTTCATCTGCGACTAGAGAGAAGCAAGAATATATCAATTCGCAGGTGGAATTAAATCAAATATTCACATAAATAATCAATAAAGGAAAGAGGGAAAATTCAATGATTTAAAAATAGTAAGTGGGGGAAACTCACTTGTTCTTTATATGAATCTTATCGGTTTTAGAGAGAGAAGCTGCTCTCATAAAACCCAATTTCGGTGTGTGGCCTGCATTACAGATTCATAATAGAATCATCCATTAGAGTTAATATAATAAAAATTCTCAGGTGATTAGCCATTGAAAAATAATAAATTATGTAATGTTCTCATTTTAGAAGGAATTGAAAGTGGATTTCATGTGTTTTGGAGGATAAGTCGTACCAGAAATGAAGACTCTGGACCAACCCCGAGTGGATTTGGGGAGGCGGGAAAGGCCCCTAAATGTTATAGAGAGCGGGAATTTCATGAGTTCCATGGCCATCTCTCTATCTACAAGAGAGATAAATTATCACACATATAGTTAAGTGGCAAAGACCTAAAACACAGAAAGCTTCACTCCTTTCAGTGCTTCTTGTCCCGCGCTTCAGAAGATTTTTGCGAGGAAGTTTATAATGAAAATTTCGTATAACCTTGGACCGTACATTTTAGTCATACCCTCCCTAAATATTTTTAGGTAAAGTTTCCCCCCCCCCCCAAATTGTATATGTTATATACTTCCCTTTATTTAGCCCGAGTAAACTTGACAAAACCATATGATTCATGTCGTCTGAGCAAACATGACCAAACGACACATATTGTGTCATCTCGACAACTTTGATGCCAATCTTTTGTGTCTGGTCGAGACAGTGTTCGTTGTCTGGACCCTGATGAATTTGGTGTCATCTGGACTATTTGGTGCTAGTCTTTTGTGTCTTATCCAGACTGAGCCTGGACAACACAATACTTGTCGTTTGGACCTTGATGATCCATACAACACATATATTGACTTCTAGGCCATTTGGTGTCAGTTTTTTGTGTCTAGTAGACTTGAGGTTGGACGACGCAGTACGTGTCGTTTGGATTCTGATGACCCAAACGACACATATTTAGTGCCAATCTTTTGTGTCTGGTTGACAGTAAGCATGGACGACACAATTCGTGTCATCTGGACCTGATGACCCAAACAACAGTATTGTATCGTCTGGGCCATTTGGCGCCAGTCTATTGTGTTTGGTCGACATTGAGCTTGGACGACACATTACATGCTATCTGGACTTCGATGACCCAGACGGCATGTCTCCCGTCGTCTATTACGTTGAACACCATAATTTCAAATTTTGAGTCCAACCAACAAGATACGCATTCCTAACATCTTTCCAACCATTCAGAGGTCTATAAAAGGATCTAAGGTCAACTTCTTGAGGGTTGGTCACTTAAGTCACATAGAATTAGGAAATGCTTAAACCTTAAATTAGAAATCTAGGAAAATCATTTTAACAAATGCTAAGGTTTGGTCATCTTGAAGAGAAGGAAAGGGGACAACGGTGTAAACACAACTGCGATCTTGATACATGCCAAGCTTTGGGATTTACATGTTCTAGGCCAATCGGCCTAGGCAGGTAACTCTCCATCATTTTATCTATTTTGGAATATTTAGTTAAGCATATGTTTATTTGCATTTGTTGTTGTTTTGGCACATCGACTATGCCGGCTCTGTCAATGATATAAGGGAAGATCTGCCCAACTAGGTGGGTCAGCCCCTAGATCATAATTTGATTGGCCTCCACAACTCCTCTACTTATTTTAATTAAAACGATTGTAATGTCAAGTTGGGGGGATTTTCACTTAAAAATATCTCAAATTTGCACTGTAAACAAATGTTAAATAGTTCCCCCTTTCGCCCCTAACCATTATTGATCGGATTACAAATGTAAATGGTCTTATTGTATACGTTGCCTTTATTATCCTAAAGAACCCGAGCTCAAACAATATAAACAATAATGGCTCATGCTCTTATTTTTGTGAGCATGTAATATGTATTTCTTAGGATCTCTCTCTCTCTCATTCATGTGCAATGTGTTGCCTAGTTTCTTTCTCTCTCTATAGAGTTTAGACACTTGTTGAGCATAATGCGATATTAATCATTGTAGCTTAACAATTCGTGGGTGTCCCAATGAGTTTTTAGGTAACATATCAAATGGGACATGCCAACCAAATCTCATACATCTATGCAACTATGGCATCATTTGAATTCACAACCCACCTGCCAACCCCACCTTTTAATTTCATTTTATTTAGCAAACTTCAACACTAATTTCACTCCTAGCAATCAAAGTTCAACTTGTTCTTGATGTTTGCGTCTCTCGCAAATTTTACTTCAATCAAAGTTCAACTTGCTCTTGTTTCTTTTTAGCTCTCATGTTTTCCTCGTAAGGATTTTAGGTGCGACACGCGATAAGATATGAGATAGTTGACTTAAGTTAGCTAGTCATGCGTGGCGCAGACTTAATATAATACATATTGGGAGGTGCGAGTTAGTTTAAGTGGAAGGCTAAAAAATGACAAATAGTAAATCTAAAAGTACATGGTTGAAAGTAGTGACAAAATATATGAGGCCTTATTGAGGGTATGACTTTTAATATAATAAAACAACGGATCAAGATTCCTGTATCCGACTCTAATTAATTGAAAAAAAGATTTGACAATGATAAAAATGATGTTTTCCTAGCAGGGCTAAAACTTAACATTCATTGTTCATATGAATATTTGGAAAAATATATAAAGAGACCATTTACTTTTGGTACAATGAGGTCACAAACATTCTTGTCCGTCAGATTTCAAATCAAGTACTTGTAAGAGTGTAATTAATTAAACTCATAGTTCAAAAAAATAATCTCAAACATTGTGGCACACCCCAAGACATTCAATTTGATATCTAATGACTAGAATTGACCTCTTTGTATCAAAAATAAATGGTCTCATAATACACAATTCCTAAATATGAGTAATGATCCTATGAGACCCTCCCACACTTACACGTGTAGAACCTCAAAGGATTACCATTAAATTTGACACAAATATCTAGAAAAGTAGAGTCCTACATCTATGTGATAACTTTTTTAGAGATATGTGCCAAATTTAATGGTAATCTTTTAGAGTCCTACACACATGAGTGTGAGAGGGTCTCATAAGATCATCACTCCCTGAATATTTGTAAAAGATTGTTGATTTATGCTTGAACTTGCTTGAGTCACCCAGAGGTCAGACCCATTAGGGTGGCATGACTAACCCTAAATTCTAAGAGAGTCTGATTGAGTTTTAAAAATTATGCCTCTTTAATTGAGCGAAATAGGGCAATAAGACTCGGCCTAGTTGGACTCGGACGCAAGGTGGGTGAGTCAGAACCCGGGCAAGGATTTTGAAACAATGCTCATAAAATCCATGACTTTCTCTTTGTTAAAACTTCACTTTCAACTCTTGACATTCTTTCTCAATTCCCAAGTCGCTTGAATTGGGCTCCTCCATTTTGAATCTTAAGGGTCCTTATCTTTGCCTTCTCTGATATCACACATTCACCATACTCCTGCACATTTGTGTCACTTCAGTCTATTAAAATCTATTAATCATGATGAAGGATGAAATAACCAAAACACCTAGGTATTTAATGAAATTGACCGATAAAAGAGGTTTCATATTTATCCCAAAAAAAAGTGTTCCCTATCATCGACGGCTAAGAACTCAACTTGTCGCAATAGTTGACGGTTATGATTGAAGATCATTTATAGTATTTTGTGGGATACATTGGAGCACAAATGTTGTAGCAATAATAATTTATTTCTTTCATAATTGATGTTAGAACCTCGCTATCTTTTGTTGATATGCAGGGTTCTATTTTTGGAGCTACATTTGTTAATAGCGGTGCACCAAGCGTGCATTATGTTTTGACTCTAAGGCAATTTTAATCAATATTATTATGATTGGATTATCATTGAGTCGGCGAAAAGATTGGTGTAATCAAAATTCAAAATTTATGGATGGACCAGTTTGATCAGATTTTAAAATAAATAAAAATAATATAAATAATAATTAATTATATAATATGTTAAAAAATGTATTTTCTAATTTTGTTTCGCTACTCGACTCAATTTAACTCAGTCGATCAGATCGGTTATAACTAGTCAAACACATTATTTGACTAGTTATTGTCTAAAGCCTGCTTTTACATTTCATTTGATTAGTTATTGTTTAAAACTAGCTTTTATTTTGAACAAGACCATTAAAACATCAATTTAATTGGAAGATGGTTTTAATGCTACGTGGGAAAGAGTGCCCATCCACACCGTGCCCATCATAGAAGGACTAAAATAAAAAAGATAAAAAAAAAATGTCACCATGCTGTAAAAGACTTTCAACTCTTCAATCTGTAAAAATGTCATCATGCTATAAAAGACTTTTAGCTCTTAAATTTGTCAGAGTTCTCCAGCCTAGGCAAGGGGGCATTAATATTGGCTCATTGGGAAATTTCTTATTTTTCTTGAAAGTTAATGTGATTAATTAATTTCCTCTTTTACACAAACATACATGTACATTCCTCGAAAATTAATTTCCCCTTATACATGCACACCAATACGCTTCCCCTTTTTTAAAAAAATTTATTTCATTGAGTTGTGAACCATGGTAGTTTTTCGTTTTTCTTGGGCCTACTTTGAACCTAAACCAAACCTGGATACGGACTCGGACCCGTGTAGGAAAAATCGAACCGGAATAGTTTACCAGATATAGACCTGGAAGCAGTTCAACCAACTTAACTAGTAAATCGGCTAGTTCAATCATTCTAACCAGACAAGTTCTAGGTGGTAAAAAATGTGTTAAAAAAAATAAAAAATACAAAAGAAATAATAAAATATAAAAAATATATTTAAAGAATGATTAAATAACGTACATCCAATTGAAGTTAAAAGTTAATGAAAGAAATGGATTTTAAAGGATCGATTTGTTCTTAGAAGTATTTTTGAAAAAAAAAATTTAAAAAAATAAATGTAAAAATAAATATTAATGGTCAAAACAATTTTCAATTTTTACCATATGATGAAAAACATTAAAAAAAACATTAAACATATAATTTATATACATGGAAGTATAGAAAAGGTTTCCCATATAAATATGGAAGAAATCTATTTATTATACATAAGATACAAGCTTAAAAAAAAGGAAAATGGCGACCCTATTAAAATAAGTGAAGCCTCAATCTATAAATTTTTGAAAATTGCAATTCAAGCATTAAAAGGCCTTTACATTGATTATCTTGACATGAACATTATAGTTGTGAAAAAAAAAAAGGATTTCAAGTTCTAAAAATATCATTATCGTAACAAATTATCTAGACCATCCATTTTGCTGTAAAACAAGTGTGTATAGATCCACAAGCTCTACACCATTTTTTGAGTTTCGAATTTCGTTCATTGTCACTGGAAATTGCTTTTAGAGCCATTATAGGGATTTATGTGCTTTTAGAGCCATTATAGGGATTTATGTGTACTTTCCTGCCCAGGATTTGAGGTGAGGCTTTATTTTGTTTTCATAAAGCCTAGGCCTTATAGAAACCTCATCCAAAAAAAAGTTGGGTCCTCCCATCCAGCCTAGGCCCGGCTCATGCCGTAACAAGCTGTCTGAACCGTGTGAGAAATTGGGCTTACCCCGACCGCGGGCTTGCCTGACCCGATTGCTAGTCCTAACTACCTACTACCGTGCTATAAAAAATAGCAATTAGGAGGCTGAATATGTTACAATTATTGTCATTTACAAATGGGTGCGGTTTGTGTAGAGCCTAGGCTCTGAACAATCAAATTAGAGCCTACCTTCAAATAATTTCGAGAAATGTGATTTCAATACTGAAAATCTCTGCGATAGCCTTAAAATATATTTTCATCTTTATTTATAAAGTTTAAATTTAAAAAATAGTGTAGATCGACAGATCTATGAGAACTTAAAATTCTTGAAAATTGACGGTCAAAAAATACATTACAAAATACACTATTTTCAAAACTTGAAATCTATTTTTCTCTTATGTTCATGTATCTTGATATCGAGATGATCAATTTTAGATATTTAAGCCTCACAACAACCTATTTTAGTAAAAATTTTGAGATAACCTCTTATTTGAGTGGTTAGAGCCTCGGCTCTATATAAACTTTTGCCTTTAATAGAGTAGGATTTGTCAATGGTGAAGATTCCACTGCTTCATTTTCTCTCTAAAATATTACTAAAATATTTGAGAGAGACAAAGTGCCAAAGAGCGAGAGAGGAAGCAGAGAAGTGGAGGGAAGCGAATCTCTGGTTAATATAAGATAGAGAGAGAAAGAGTGCTATTTAGAGGGAGAAAATTGTTGATTGAAAGAGGAAATTTCCTGTTCTTGGGCTGCTGAAGAAGGTCATGGCGGATCTGAAGGTCTTCCCTCTCTCTGAGGTTTCTCTTCACTCCTCCAAGAAAGATTGCTGGATAATAGTAAGAGGAAAGGTAAAAACCATTAAAATGATTTCTCCCCATTTTTCCATTTTTCTTCTTAATACCCATTTCCTTTTATTATTTTTTCTTTTCAATCCTTTTTTTTCCTGTATTTTACTTCTCTCCCTTCCTTTTATTCACCTAGTTTCTATTTGATAAAATTTGTTTTTCCCCCTTTTATTCATTTTTATTTGCTTTAAAAATCAGGTTTTTTTTTTCATGGTTTTTTTTTCCTTATGGGTGTTTAGGTTTATGATGTCACTGGATTCTTGGAGGAGCACCCAGGAGGAGAAGATGTTTTGATAGAAGCTTCAGGTAAAAGAAAAAAATTAGAATATGAGAAAATTAATTTATTTATCCTAATTCTGAAAAATGGAAAGAACTCGGTTTTTATTAATATTTATAATTGGATATTGGAAATAACATTCATTTTCTCATTTTAAATGAAAATTATATCAATAGATATTTCTATTAACACCGAAATTAATATATGATTTGTTTGAATTGTTGTTGGAGTTTGGGTAAAAATTTTAAAAAACATTTATTGTTTTTTTTTTTTTTATAACTAAATCCATGGGTTTTATGTGTAACTAAAATTAGATTATTGCCACTTTTCTTAATTTTCTATTTTATTTTTCAAAATTTCAGACCAAGATCCTTGTATTAAATTAGGCGATTTTCTCGTAACAATTATGGGGATTTATTGGATTTTTCGGTGGACCAAAATAGACCTGAGTTTGGAAAATGAAAAATATGCAGATTTTCTGGCAAAACAATTATGGAGAGAATTTGGTATTAATTTTGGAAATGAAAGTAATTAATTTATCTAAATATTCAGAAAACAAATAATTTATGTAGCTATTATTTTTGTTGGAATAAAATATTCTCTTTCTTTTTTTTTTTGCCGAATGTTAACATAAGAAGAAGTAAAAATAGTCCCTTTAACATAAGTTGAATAGTAAATTTATTTGGAAATAAAATAATCACTTTAGCTTAACTTAAAAAGTAATTTATTTGTGTAATTTAGTAGATCTCAGATGACCTGAGGCCCTTTATAGGGGCTAATTTGATATTTTATAGCAAAACAGGGGTAACAATTATATATTTAGTCTTCTTTTTGGGATTAGATTTATGTTATTTCAATAGAGAAATTTAACAATTTTTTTTTTTGATTTCAGGAAAATTTAATTTTTTTTTGTGAATATTAAAGAAATATCCAAATAACCATGTTCAATACAGCCATAGCTCACATTATATTACATATCAGGGTGTAACCAGGTCACGTCGGGTAACCCAAGTGCACACACGTGTCTAAGCTATCAGGTCAAGTTGGTATGGTGTTCGGGTTTAACCCGATCTAAATAGGTCTCACTTAGACTCAGACCTAGGCTAGTCAAGTCAATTGGACTTGGACCAAACCTGCTGGATCGAAGCCCCGACCTAGGTCAGCTTGAGCGCAGGTTTTGGATCCTGAATCACATTTAATTAAGTTAATTGAGTTCAAGGTCTAGGTGACTAGGGGTAAGAGGGGATTGAGGTCAAGGTAATTGGATCTAGAGAATTGGGGCTTGGGCTATTGATAGTTAAGTGTTGACCTTATTGATATTAAGTTTCAAGCTCGATTCCTATTTGCTAAATTACCCTAATGTAAAGTAATTTTGGAGTGCTCATGTTTAAGAACCAAGCTTTCTATGCTTCTCCCGCAGCATAAAACTTCTATACTTCCCCTTATTCAACCGTCCATTCTAAATGGACAGTTTAGATGGCCCCAATCAGAATGTCACCCTCTATATCATTTTATTTTTAATTTTTTTTGACATCCAATCCTTGCTTCAACTCACACCTATAAAAAATATAAAAGCAATATTCCCAATAAAATAAAATGACTAAAATGCCTCTAAAAATTTCAAGGGTATTTTAGTTATTTTATTTTATCAAAAATATTTTTTTGATATTTTATTTAGGTGTGCCCCATTGAGGTGATAGTTTAGTAAAAAAAACTAAGAATAAAAAATTCAAAAAAATAAAAATTAAATACTCTGAGGCATTTGTTCTAGATTAAATGGTTAGTGGGTCACTTGATCTAAATTGGACGGCTGGATGAAGGGAGAAGTATATATCTTTTATGCTATAGGGGAAGCATAAAAACCTTTCCTGTTTAAGAATAGTATTATGCCCAAACCCTAGAATTTGTTTTAAAACTTTTAAAAAAGGAAAATTTATCAAATTACGCATGAGAGATGAACAATTCAATACCTTACCTATATCTTTTGATTTAATTTCAAAATACTTTACCTGATCGTGGTTATAATATTAAATTTTTAGTTATTACCTTATGGGTATTTTGATAAATTTTTATTTAAAATATATCTTTTAGTTTGGGTACCTGTTTGTTTTTCAAATCCATTATACATATATATTAGATTGCCTCGTAGGGTTCTTTGTTTTAGCCTTAGAATGAAGTGCTGTATTTCTAAGAATAAAAGAACTAGAAAAAGTATACATGGATTTTTTGATATATTTTTATGGAAAAAGATTATATAAGGTTGTAGAATTGAGGTGCATCTTAAAAATCCATCATAACAGATTTTCAAGTGTTATCTGGATTGTCTATTTTCAAGATTTTCAAGTGTTTATAGATCTACTTGATTTGAACCATTTTTAAAATTTAAGATTTTATAATTAGAGAAAAAAATTCCTAAGAGTTTTTTACTCCAAAATTATATTTATGATAAAATTTGAAAGCGAGCCTTAATTTGATTGTTTAAGGTTGCAACCTTATACAAACTACATCCTATTTAAAAAAAATAAGTGTTAGTTTGGATGTACCGAAAATTGATCTTTAGATTGTAATCTAAAAATATCATGAAATGCACTTTGTACAATTTGGACAACCCCAAGTTTTTAAAAGCTTTGGAACACCATGGATATATTTCTATAAATTTAGGCATTTTTTCTTTTCCAAATCCTAGATATTTTTAGGGTATATTTGAACTAGCTACCCTTTTTGTCAAAATACGTAGGGTGTGATTCGCTTTTCTTTGGTTCAAGGATAAAGTTCAAGACTTTGGCCAACTATGCTAGAAACGAAGCGAATCTGATAACATTGATATATTACATAAAATTATGTTTCTGAGCTTGATGATATGACCTACTTTTTATATTACAAGAAATCATATGGTTGTTCATTTTATAACTCTTTTTCAACAAATAAGGAATTTAGCTTGTTCTAGCCAGATAAAAACAACCATTTTTTTATTTATTCTTTTATGCCCTTGCTGATCTTGGCTAGTCCCAAGCTGGTGATATGCCAGTCCCAAGCTTGGAGAAAGGTGGAGGGTTGTATGAGGTTGGCAACAAGCGTAAAACTTTTTCCACATGTATTTCATGAGTTTTGATGATTCTTTTACCCTCCTTTTGGGCAATTGGGTAAGATGCATAGGGAATTTGACATGTTGTAGCCGAACAAAAATCATAATTTTCTTTTTATTTTTTGGACATTAGGGCGAGATGCAACTAAGGAATTCAACGAGGTCGGCCACAGCTCAACAGCCATGGCCATGATGGACGGCTACGAAATCGGCATTGTAGAGGGATTTAAGCTGGAAAATCCCCCTGGAAAAGCGAAAAGTTCCGGTGATCACAGTGGGATTTCATATAGCCAGAAGGCAAGCACAAGCCTGGTAAAGGAAGAGGGGCCATCAGGTCTGGCCAGCTTCATGCAGTTTTTGCTTCCTCTTGTTATTCTTGGTGTTGCCGTTGCTGCTTGGTATTTCCTCAACAGTGAGAAGCCCAAGTCCTCTTAGACTTGGCTAATGGTGAGAGATGTGTGGCCTCTCTCTCCTCTTCTGAAGTGATGTTATTTTTCTTTTTCTCTCTCCTCCCAAGTCCTCTTAGACTTGGCTAATGGTGAGAGACGTGTGGCTTCTCTCTCCTCTTCTGAAGTGATGTTATTTTTCTTTTTCTCTCTCCTCTTTTGAAGTGACATTACATTTCTTTTTTTCTCTCCACTTTTGAAGTGATCTTGCGTTGTTTAGTGTAAGGTGGGAGCTTGAGTGTTGATAAACTTTGTGGCATGTAGTCTTATGTTAAACTAAAATCCAGGAGTAATATTATTTAAGTTTTTGAGAGAACCCTATAGTAACTAGACGGCTAATTTCAATCTTAATAAAAAATCTCTCTCTAATGTCTTATAGTCGCAATTAATCTTGACCATTGGATGTGACATTGAGCGTTGCAATTATTCCATTGCTCAAGTTCAAAGTTCAAAAGAAATTTTTTCAAACTTTATGATATATCTAAGCTATCACATTTTACATCGGGTGGTTTGTATTAAAGGTAAATGCTCTCATTATACAATCTTTATTATTATTATCATTGATATATATTGGGGCTGGCATGTGTAAAATTTTGTTTGTGAGCATGTAGACTATGTTTCTGCACGAGCATACTGTACATGTACTCCCTCAGTCAGAAGATCCAAATAGGAGTATTTTATTTTTTTAATATGAAATTTTGATAACCACCTAAAAGACAGTAAATTATTTTCACAAGAAAAAAAATTGAGTTTTGAATAGGATCTCAACCTTCATAGAAGGATCTGACAAGGACCCAACTTGAAGTCACCCAAAAATTCACATTACAAACTCTCGCTGTCTCTAAAACACACAAACAACAAACATGATCTTAGAAGGCTCTGCAACTTTTCAATTGTTATAGAGACCACAGCAACAAAAGGACTTGTGGTAATGGAATCGAAAAGCAAAGAGCTGAAATGGGTTGGAGCCATCAAACTTGCAGTCTGATACACCCACTGTCCTCTTTTGCTTGTTGCCCTCTTGAAACACAGTCAAGCACTTGCCTGTGCTTCTAGAGAACCAAAAGCAAAATTCCCTGTGGTTGAGCTTGGGAGGTGGGTTAATGGATTTCCAGTCTGCTTGGGCCATGGAGGTGAGGGAACTCAGTCCTCTCAAACCCACGTTGCCATTGCTGTCCACTGTCAGGAAGCTTTGGCCACCTGAGTACTTGTCCATGTAGTTCTCAAACCTAGAGAGAGACAAAGATAAGGTTATTGTTAGTTAATTAGAAAGAGAAGCAATGATACATCTCAAGTTGAATTCCTTCTCTTGAATTATCCAAAAAAATTACAGAGATTTACATATGTGTATATGTGTGCACAGGTGCTTAAGAGAGGAAGAGAGATGCAGGAAGAGGGTTATAAATAAAAAGTCCAGTATCTAGAGATGTGTGTACATGAGAGAGAGACAGGGTTATCCAAGATCATTGCCCATTTAATTAAGGTTCCAGTAAGTATTACTGTAGTAAAATACTTGTGAGTTTTTGACAAAGATGTGTTAAGTTTACATTATCCAATTGAAATGAACGGTGTAAATTATTGCAGATTTATTTATACGAATATGGTTGTGTGTTGTTGGGAGAGAGATTGTTAGGGCTACGAGGCCGCATTAACATTTTTGCAAAATGTTTGCCCCTTTTTCTTGAGCGCATATAAGAATGCTCCCACGTGACCACATTGTACATCTATTCCCTTGAGCAAAAGACCTTCTTAGAAAGAGAAATATGTAATCTTCTTTTGGATCACTAAACTCATAAGTAGAGTTTTACTCACAAGAGAAGCTTGAATACGATCAAGCAAGAGCACACAATCTTTTTATTTATAGAAAAAATCTATATAACGTTGTTGTTGAAGTAAGGTGCACATTAAAAATCCTCTAGAAGAGAATGTTATAATGTTAGAAATCTTGCAATTAATCATCTCAACCTCGAGATCTGTGTATAAAGAAAAAGAGAATTTTGAATATTAAAAATAATGTATTTGCTCAATCGGTACATTTTTTTGAAAATTTTTAGATAAAAAATAATTATTTTTTCTTTTTTTGACAAAGAATAAACTTAAAAGTGTCCACCCTCCTTTATTATTGGTAGCCTTAGGAGATATTTGTTTGGACCTAAATTTGGCCCTCTCTTATTGCTATTGCTAGTGAACAAGATTGGGAAAAAGAAAGATGAAAAAGAAGTTTGGAAAATAAATATTTTAAGAGAAATAAAATACAATGAATATAGGCTGGAAAAAGAAAAGATGATATAAGATTGAGGCATTGAGGGAATTTGTTTGACCCAAATATTATAGAGTGTCTCATTGTACCAGATGAAAATTCAAAAACAAAAAATTAAATTTGAGTTTTTAATACGTGCTCATCGAGTTCAAGGAAACCACTTTTTGGGTTATTATTTATATTTTTTATGGTTTTTCTTAGGTCAAAAGAATATTTTTGAATTTAAAATTGAATTTTAGAGGGATTTTAAAAAAATTAAAATACTTTTTATAAAGTATAAGAAATATTTATGGTAAAAAGTCATTTTTGACCATATAAAGGTATTTTATGGTCAAATATTTTGGAGAACCAAATTCTAGGTTCACCATTTGCATGGTGTATTATAGAATAAATATAACTAATATTAATATATATATATATATATATAAAACAATGATTTCATGCAACGTTTGTATGGTAGTATAATGCAACCATCTTCAAAAACCATCTTAAAGACATTTGTTTGATACAAATTTTAAAATGTACACGCCTTTTATTCTAAAGAACAATCACAAAAAAGAAAATTTTGAAAAAACACCCTAGAAATTGTTTTTCTAGCTCAATTAATATAAGCCATCCATTTTAGTGAGATGGTTAGATATAGGCCTCAAAAGGATTTTTTTATTCTCAAAATTTTTATGTAGTGTTATCATCATTAGATTAACAATGCTGAAAAAGAAAAAAGTAATTTGAATTTGTTAAGGCCTAGATCTTGAAATTCACCAAATGAACGATTGAGATTCATTGTTGGAGTGTACTAATTTTGACCATATCTAGGGTGCAAATTGAATTTTTGTTTTTGTAGGATTGATCATGAAGATGAAAAGAATGTGTGTGCAAAATTTGAGTTCATATAAATGCCAAAAACATAGTTTTCTAGAGATGTGGTTGCATTATACTACTATACAATCGTTGCATGAAATCATTCCTCATATATATATATATATATATATATATATGTTATACTAGGGTGCTCATACTTTAGAGTTATTTATCATTGTACTCAACAAAATTTGGACAATTATATACCTTTTTTATGTAAATGGAGTTTTTTTTTTTAATAAAGGTATTTTTTGTCATTAGGATGGGTGTGACGTCATTTACATGGAGTGTGACATCACCCACGTAGAGCATTAAATGTCACTAGTGTACTCTATGTGGATGATGTCACACCCAATATGGAAAATGTCATACCCTTTCTAATAATAAAAAATACCTTTATTAAAAAAATACTCAATCTACAAAACAAAGATATAAAAGTGTCTAAAATTATTGAGTAGAATGATATAATTTGAACACCCTAACCTAACCTTACATATACATATACTTTGAGATTCAATTACACCCTTACAACCAACATGAAATCTTTCATAAAAGTAATTATGTAACTCCTGCCAAAACAAAATGGTCACTTTGTAAACTTTTTTTATATAAGAACTTTGAGCTAAAACCAATGCCTTTAAAGCCCCCAAAATGGAGGGTGAGGATTATAAGTTGGCCCTTGGGATCCATGTAAGCCATATCATCTTCTAAAAGGTCCTCCACTCAAATTCGGTCCCCTTCACCGTCCATTAATTCAACTGGAGGATGATGACCCTCATGACTATGAACCTTCAAATAATCATAACTTCATGAGGACTCGAGTTTACGGGTTCAAACCCAGCTAACATACCCAGGAAAATAAAAATAAAAATACAATTCTTTTTTTTTTTTAACAAAGAAAATATTTGGTTTTTCTACCTGTGGAAGCCAGAGGCTGAGCCAGAGGTGGACTTCCATCCGAAGTAAGAGTTATGATTAGAGGCTCCGCCCTTAGAATCCGGCACGGCGTAGACTCGTCGATCATTTTTTGGCACAAAATCAGATTGAAGCGGTCCAGCGATAAGCGAGTCGTCGAAGGCAGTCATGTGAGGGAAAGACTCGCTCACAGGACATCGAGACACACCGCAAGCCGAGCACCGGCTACACATGAGCTTGCTCTCGAGGCGGTCATCACCTCGGGCGACACACGATGATAAGGAGGAGAGAGCTAATGAATCTAGCCATCTCTCTCTCTATAGCATGAGCACACTCTAATTTATGTGCGTAGAATATGTACTCTCTCTCTCTCTCTAGAGCATGAATATTCTGCATTGCACTAGTGTATATATATGTTTAATGCACATGTGACAAACAAGAAGCATATGACCACACACACATTAGTTGGGATTGTCCTTGTTTGCATCGTGTGTTGTTTTATGAGCTATTTTAAATTCTATTAAAGATTTGTTTTTATAAAAAATAAGTATTTGTTTTAATAAGTGTTTTTTTTTGGTGTGGCAATGGCCAAGCTGGTTAAATATAATATAAAAGAATATTTTTTTTGTTTTGATGGAAAATGTAAATACTTAACAAGCCATTTGTTGGTTTCCAATTTTGCCCATGCTTTGGATTACCCACTAGAGGTCAAAGATTTGTAAATATGTGAATATCAGCATCTGGACATTTGGCTCGTGTGAAAATATTTTTTGAAAAATATTTTCACATTAAAAAATTTCCTCATATGATTAAGTATGGGAAATTTTTATACCAATTAGCTGTCAATTAATGTGAAAAGATGCACTGAAACAAATTGGTGTAAAAATATTATCACATCTAACTACATAAAAAAAAAATTTGAATGTAAAAATATTTTCACACCTAACAAACATACGTAAAATGCACCCTCCTTTGGCTGGAGAAAACAAAAATAAATGGTTTTATTGTATACATTTCTATTCACAATTGAAGTCCTTAGATAGAAGTGAGAAGGGTTATATAATTACTTTTTATATATACAATTTCTATCTCCTCATCTAGACTAGAGAATTGTTTTATGTTATTTTTCCAGTTTTCAAAACAATTTTGTGTGGGTTTTATCCTCAAATAATCAAGATTTCATTGTTCACTAATAAGCAATTAGGGAAGATTGCTCATTTGTCCTCACTATGCATAAATGGAATCTCTAAAAGCCAACATAGACTTTTCAATCAACATTTATGCAATAAATTTTCTTTTTCGTAAGGAAGGAAGGGAGAAGGCCCCTACCCGATTTTCATTAATATGTAGAGAAGTAAAATACAACTCATAGTTTAACGACCTTATTGTGGGGAATTTGTCTAACATTCAGAAGTAGAGGAAGAATAATACAATTAGGCGGTCTTGTGCGCCAAATAAATAGCGGCATTAGATAAAGTTGTGGTTTTCTTGGCAAGAGTATCGACCACCATGTTGGCCTTTCGGAAGATGTGTGAAAATGACCATGCAGGTCAATGAGCTTATGATGACAATTGGCAGCTACAATGTGAAGCAACCACATCGTTTTGCATCGGTCATGAATAATTAAAACCAACAGAGACAAGTCGCTCTCAATCTGTAGTGGACAACAATCAAACTTGAGTTTATGAGTCCAATACGTGTTTCTCTGGGTTTAAAATAACTGAATTTTTTGAGTAGAAAATTGATCTCCCTAAAAATAACAAAGAAAAAGTTTATATAAGGGTGAGGCCCTAAACAATCTAATTAAGGTGCACCTCAAAAACTCATTATAAGCGGATGTTTTTATATTGAACAACCCTCAATTCAATCATCTCGACCGCAAGATGTATGGAAATGGAAAACACCACATTTCATGTCTTAGAAATAGTGCATCTTATAATGTATTATCTAGATTGTTAATTTTCAATATTTTCAAGTGGTCATAGGTATTCCTTAATCTGTACTATATTTTTAAATTTCACCATTAGAGATTGATTTTTTAGGCCATCAAAACTATTTTTGATACTGAACTAATACATATCGACACTATTTAAGAGTGCGCCTTGCTTTGATTGTACAACCTTCCGAACTCAACATGCACACACACATATGTTGGATATGGTGATTATCTAAAGGGTGCCGTTTGTATAGAGCCTAGGCTCTAAACCATCAAATTAGAGCCTACCTTCAAATAGTATCGAGAAATGTGATTGCAATACTAAAAATATTTTTAATATACTTTCATCTTTATTTATAAAGTTTAAAGCTTCAAAACTAGTGTAAATTGACAAATCTATGAAATCTTGAAAATTGACGGTCCAAACATGCGTTACAAATTTCACCTAGCCTCTCAAATTTCACCTTAAGAAACAGAAGTTTCTCTTTTCCTTAGTTGGGCTTAAAGCATATATTTGACCACCTAAGAGGAAAGACTATTAAGATATAGGATTGCATATCATTTACCTTTGATACAAAGAGGTCACAATTACTGACAATCATCTAATGTGATACACCTAAACTATCTCTAAACAATCAAAATAAAGCACACCTTCAAATAGTACCGATAAATGTTGTTTCAATGCTGGAAATCTTTGTGATATCCTTAAAATATATTTTCATCTTTAATTATAAAATTTAAAGCTTAAAAAATAGTGTAGATCGAGCAAATCTATAAAAAACTTGAAAATCGTGAAAATTGACAATAAAAAAATTCGTTACAAGATATACTATTTCTAAAACTTGAAACACAATTTTTTCTCATGTCCATACATTTTGATGTCGAGATGATCAATTTAAAGATATTTAAGCATCAAAACATGCTTTTCCAGTGAAATGTTTTAGGTGGGCTCTAATTTGATTGTTTAGAGCCTCGGTTCTATACAAACTTTTTCCCAATCTAAAATAATCTAGAGAATGAATATCTCTTGAGAGATATATTCATTGTCTCAGTAGAGAGAGAATCATTTATTCAAACTTGTTACGTTCAAACCAACCAGCAAGAGAATGAGGAGAGAGATTCATTTAGTAAAACCACAGAGAGAGATTCACTTCTTACTTTCAAACCAACCAGTAAGAGAATGAGAGGAAATTTATTCCCAAAGAATATACTTCCATGAGGAATATACGCTGAATATTCCAATGCCCTGCGAGTACAAATCATATACAACAAGATCTAATCTCTCTCTCTCTCTTGCAAAAGAGCACAAGATCTAATATCTCTCTCTCTCTCTCTATATGATAAAAGAAGCAGAAGGCCTGAATATGCTTGTTGCTGGTCATCTAACTATTTACTTGTAATTGAATAGTGATTTGATGGTTAGATGATCATCAACAAGCACCTTCAGCCTATATGCACTCACCCATGACCCCATTGCCTACTGCCATTTCATGCTCTCTCTCCCTCTACCATGGTGTCTTGTTTCATGTAAATGGATGGTCCCTCTCCCTACCATCTTGGTGTCCTATTTGATGTCAATGCATGGCCTTTCTAAAATCAGAGTGTTTTAAAATCAGGTGATGTTAGATCTAGATAGCTGATTTGGATGGGAATCAGCCCGGACTAAACTGGTTCAGGATGGTATACGTTCCGACCTAATTCCCCCCTTATAACCCCTTTATATATTTTTTCTATTTTTTAAGCTTATTTAGCATTTTATTACGTCCCCTTTATACCCGGACCCCATAGACCATATTTTACATTTGTTTTATCTCATTTACTTTTTTCAACAATTTTTTAATTTGGGCCGATCCAAACCCGATACAAATCATCAATCTGGCGATCTAACGCAGATCATTCTATGAATGACCATCCCTGCCGATCCGAGTTTTTAAAACACTAATAATATGTGTTCATTATTTGCATTTTACACTTGAACTTGCTAATCTTTACCTTTTTTATTATGGAAAAAGTTTATATAACGATGCAACCTTATAATGTAGAACTACGGATGCACCTCAAAAATCCGTAGTTTTAATGTTGAAAAACCCTTTGGTTTATCATCTCGACATCGAGATGTATGATCATGAAAAATGAAAAAATTTTAAGTCTCAGAAATAGTGCATTTTACAACATATTATCTACACCATCCATTTTCAAGATTTTGATATGTTCATAGATCTACTTGATTTTAACCATTTTTTAAATTTAAAATTTTATAATTAGATATAAAAATAGATTTTGAAATAATCCTAAAAACATTTTACATCAAATTATATACTATGATAAAATTTGAAGGTGCATCTTACCTCTATAGCCATGGATGCATCTGTCTGCCAATTGCACCCTTTTATTATTAAGGGAACAAATTTACTATTTATTTTTTCAATATAGAAAAGAAAATACCTTTTTTTTAACTTCCATGAACAAAAAAATAGATAATCTTTTTATAGACAATCCCTTTGTTTCATGGTCCTAAAAATACTCCTGAAAGAGGGTTTTACATGAAGAAGTAAATGGAGGTGCTCATGCAAGAGCAAGAAATCTCTAGGCAATTTAGTCCTGCATTGAGGTATTTACTTTTGGAAGTTTAGATAAGGTTGACACTTTAAAATGTAGAATTGTAGTTGTTGGAAAAACATCTAATTGATTATCTTGTTGTCGAGATGTGTAGATATAGAGAAAAAAATAAATTTCAAATCCTACAAACAGTACATAATCAAAAGACAACGACTTACCATTGTCTGTGAGACCCAGCCAAAAAAACAACTTGAAGTAGTGGTAAGAGCTCCAGTGAATTATGGCATTCATGTTTAAGGTTCTCAATAGGGGGCGTAAATCATTTTCTCTTTGGGTAAATCATGGGGGTAGGAGTAGGGGTGGCAATGGACCCGGACCCAACCTGGGACCGGGAGGGTAAACTCATATGAGTCCAAAAATTGGACCCAACGGTCAGGTCCGGGTTCCACATATATTTTCGGGTCCTAATTTATGAAAAATAGGTAAATATGTTTTTATTTTTGGGTTGGGTTCGGGACTGGACCCGTTGCTACCCCTAGATAGGACCCTTTTTTTTTTTTCCCCTTCAAATACCAGATATTTGTGTTAATTTCTTGTTGAAATAGATTCAAAGGCCATTATACAAGGACCACTTGCAACTTCTATTTGCTCCTCATGTGATTCCCTTATAATTTCTCAATAATATTTGAAAATATTCACAAGAGAGCAGTTTAATCCATGTCTTTTGATTAAACTTAAAAAATCTCATCAAAATACATATTTGACAATTAGTTGAAAAGGGCAATGATTTCATGCAACCGTTGTATAGTAATATATTGCATCAACCTTAAAAAACTAAGTAAAATATTAAGGACAATTATACAATAAGATTATTTACCTTTGGTACAAGGTGGTCAGGTTAATCTTGATCATTAGATGTGAAATTGGTTGGCTGCAATTATTCTATTGACCAGGCTCAACCTTCAAAAGAAATTTTCTCAAACTTTATGACATCCAAGTTATCAAATTTTATATTGGATGGTTATAAGTAATTGTGACTACCTTGTATCAAAGGTAAATGATCTCATTGTATACAATCCCAAATATTAATTAGTTGACAAATCAAATATAGTTTGATAATTTTTACCTCTCTTCTCCTAAACTCAAGACTCTTTTAATAGATAAACTTTTTTATTTGCTTAAAATATGTTTCTGGTTAATTAAATGAATTGTGACTAGTTCTTGAAGTGGCATAGATGGTTTCATATTTAAGAAATGAGCACTAGAGAGGTTGGTTGGTTTGGGAAGACCGCCCTTTTTCTAGATAGATACATATTTTTATTGCCCATGACATCATTCTCCCATCGAATAATACTCTCTCTCTCTCCACAAACAAATATTTCTCTCTCAACCCCCAAAAATGCATTATTTAATTAAATTAAGTGTTAGAAATTGACAAGTGAAACAAGGGATTCGGTGCAACAAATAATTAGTCAAAACATATTGTGGACACAAGATTTTCTATTTCTGGATACAAATAGTTAAGGCTAAGAATTTATCGAGTTTGGATCTAAAACCTTATCCGGATCCGGGTATAGATCCAATATTAAGATCCAACGGGCGGATGCGGATCCAAATAGTAATTTGATTCGAATTCGGATAATTGTGGATCCAATCCGAATCCGACCCATTTATTAAAATATTATATATTATTTTATATACATACATATATGTTATATAGTATTTTTTTGTTATATATTATTTTATAGATATCTAATATTTTGAATCCGATCGGGTCTGGATCCCATGTATATTTTTCAGATCCAACCCATTCTCAATTTTGCAAATAGTTGCTTTCTCAAAAGAATGCATTCCCCCATGATGGTAAAAATCAAGGTCTATAAAGGTTCTCCATGTAAATTTGTCCTCCTGATACAAACAAGTAGAATACTAAAGGTTGAACACTTATATTATCGATTCAAATACACGAAAACGACAAAACCTAGGGCATCAGAGTTACTTTTATATTAGAGAGAGAAAATTT